GCGTGCCGTTCATTTGCTGAACGTGTCATTTATTTAGCAACTGAAGCAAGCGACGCCGGCACAATCGGTGGTGCTCTGGCGCTTTTTTTGTAATCTGCGTTCGAATACTTGAATTCTACCGATTCGATCTCCAAACACCTGATATAATGATCGCAGCACATCATAAAATACTTGCCTTCGAGCACCGCGTACAAGCTTCAATATTCCCCTTCTTTGTGTTTCTCCCTTAGACTTGTGTGTATCACCTGGGGTCAATCAATGTCCACCTGTGGCGCCACCGAAGTTCCCATGATCCGCATTCCAGCCTACCATACGCCGTTTAAGCTGAGACTAGAAGCTCCACCTTCCGCGCGAGCTTACTGCCCTTGCTAACACAAGTGTGAACGCGCAACGCGCAACTAAAGCTCTGTGGAAGCGAGCGAGCTCGTGCTGAAGGCGGAGATTCTAGGGTATCCACACGAAGGAGAACTCCGCGGACGGATGTCGTGACGTCAACCACCCGGGAAACTCCGTCCCCGGCTCTGCCGCGTGCACATGTGGAATAATAATTGGGTTCTGTGTGTGTTTATACAGCCTAGAACTTGGTCTGCCTCACGGGGGCGACGAGTCTCCCAGCTGTAGATGAGAAATTTAGCCAGTGCGGTACAGCCGCTAGCCTGGGGTCTTTAACGTGCATCACGCAGTAGTGATACACGACCGCACGCCGGTAGCTTTCGTGCTGACAGCACGAAGCCTCCGCGCCTTCGCCACGGAGGAAAACGGGAGAACGGCGACGCGAGGCGTCAAAAAGGGATGACGTATGTCTCACGTGATGCGCGATCCTCGGGGAAAGTGGGGGATTTCTCCTTCGTGTGGATACCCCAGGGGTGAACGGAGTACACAATAGAGATCTGTATTGCCACTACTGCCAAGAAGCTGACATGCAAAGCGACCATCTTGCGCATGTCACGAGCGCGGAGCGTTTTCGCCGAGAACATATTCAAAGGCAACACCTCCCGCGGCTCGCGCGATTTCGCGTTTAGGCGGTCAATTTTATACGTGTAATCCCGCTGTGCTCAGAAAGCGTGACAAGTTGTCACGAGAACCGCCTCTAAAAACCGTCAAACGCCCACAAAATATAGCTAATTAGGTCCCGCTATGTAAAAGTTACAGAATGCATTGCAGAAATGCTAAATCACCCGCCAAATTTAGCGCACGATCGTCACGTGACATTATAAGCGAGGTGTGACCCCGTTACTTCATCAGCATAACGTCGTCCCGTGATACTAACCATCTGACAACGTCACGCAATACTACACAATGCACGTGACTTGACACCAAGGCGTGACACTAAAAATCACGATGTCAAGATGTCAAGATACTATGACATAACTCTACATTGTGTCACGTGACGTGACGTTATGACGCGACACTGTGACATCACGTGCCCCAACCACGTGATCATCGGACATATTGTACCTACGAAAGGTTTTAAAAAATCTCAAACAAATACCCAGCGCAGCTCATAACACGCTGCTCATTTTCTGTCTTGAGTATGCCCAAAGGATTAAGATGAATTTTAATTAATTATATTAAGATCATATTTAAATAACTCGTTCAAGAACGGCAAGTCAAAAATGTATTCTCAAGTGCACTTAAAATCACATCATTATTATAACTGCGTGGTTGAAGTCCGCGTAATAATTTTCCTATTCGTGTGCGTGGCGTTAGTGCTGCTTGGTAAATATATATTTTTTACCTTGATTTGAGAAATTAGATGTAATATCGTATCTTCCTTACAGAGAAATGCTTTTACCTTCCGGAGAAACGTTCTTGCCCCACCGTAAAACTAATTCAAATTTCATTTATATTTTTTTTTATTCAGAAACTCCAGGTTCAAACCCCGGGGTTTGGTAAATATGTGCTTGGAATGAATGATGCACATTTATCATGTAGTATACATGGTAAGATTAATTTATTTAATTTGTCATTATGCGCGAGAAACAGCTTTTTACTGCTCTAAACGGCCCTGAATTCATTTGGAGAGCCCTGCCTTTTGTTCTTTTAATGACGAGGGCACTTCGTAGAATTATCGCATCGCAAAGAAAATAGTACCATGATGTAGCTGGGGAACTGGAGCTTATATAACCGTAGAGAGCAACTCGCGATACGGAGTGGTTAGTTTGTAAATCAAGTTTGAACTCAAATATTTCTCTGTAAATCACAGTACCCCCATAAGGATAATGCATTTTTTTCCGATTGCCAGTTGGCTCTATTTATGATAGACATACAGCCCTTAAATTTAGCACAATGAACAAAAATGGTATCTACTAAAAAAGGTCGCTGAGAGCAAAATAATGCGACGCTTAGAATTTCGTGAAATAAAAAATATATAGTTCGTCCCATTGAGTTACGGGCCGTCCCGCCACCGCTGCCGATAGATGGCGCAAGTAGTGTCGGCGCGCTCGTGTCTTCGAATCCTGGGTATGGTGACGTTATGATCCTATCGACCTGCTAAATTTAGCAGAAAAATTTCCGTTCGATTCGGCGGGAAAAGTTTCTGCTAAGTTTGGAAGCAACAATTTTCGACTATATTTGGCGGCAAAAATTTTCGTTAAATTTGGCGGGTACGTTTTCTGCTATATTTTCCCCCATACTTAGCGGGTCAATAGGATCATGACGTCACAGCCACGTGTGACGTCGCACGTGGCTGTGCGCGTTGCATTATGGGATTTTCTTGGTCTCTTTAACGCCGACGCCAGATTTTATACGACACGAACTCCTAAACGCAAACACATTATTTTTTAACGCGAAAGCATTAACTGTCTCGTGGAGCGAGCTGACGTCATCAGTTTGAAGCGCGAAAACGGCTCCTAGTTTCCGCCGCGATCCCAATTGGAGCGATTCGCCTTCGGTTCCATTGGCTGGCGCATGTCGACGGGACTCCCAGTGGCCGCTGCGCCATGGTGTGATGATGCGGACGGGACATAGAAGAAAAGGAAGACAACATCGCAGATGTGACGGCTCAGTCAGGCTCGTGCAGTGCGGTTTCGGGGTTGGAGCGTTGGACACATGAGGAAGGAATGCTTGTTGCACGAATAATAATAAAAAAAAAAAAAAGAATACAGCTCAACGCCGTGGGCCCCAGCAGTCATGGGCACGTTACTGCTGAAATGTAAGTGTTACAGGTACAGTTACTCAGGCAAAAAAAGTAACCCTGTAACAGTTACAAAATTGAAAGAGTAACTTGTTAGTTACTTCGTCGTTACTTTACAACAAGAAAACACGAGAAAACATTCAAAAGGGACCTTTCTTAATATGCCTTTAAAGGAGCATAAATTTCTGATGAGGCATTGTGTTGTTCACAGTAGTGAATCTGATTATTTTGGCAAACTAATATTTTCTGAGTCAATATTAACATATTTAATTCTTCCTATGATAAAATATACCCCGTTTGCTCTACTCACGTCTAACCCCTGGTTAGCTCAGTTGGTAGAGTGCTCCACCAACATTAAAGGTGCCGCGCTTTGTTACATCTGCGTGCGTTGTGGGCGATGCCCACAACGCACGCAGACGCACGATACATGGCTGGTACGGACACAAACGTCCCCCTCCTTCCAGTTGGCGGGACCAGCTTGGCCATGCAGGATCACCCAAAAATTAGTTTCTTTATATTTTTATTTTTTCCCCTCCTGCTCCAGACTTTTTCTGCAGCAGTTTTTGCTGTGCCCTTCCTGCACCAGGACTTGAGACACTCTCACGGGTGGCGACGTGGTTTGGTGGTCGTGCTTGCAATATTTTTGCACATAAATCTGAGAAGTAGCTGTAACGACGTTACGTTTTACAGTTACTTTCGAAAAATAGTAACTCTGTTACAGTTACAAGTTCTTTTCTCTAAGCAGTAACGAGTTACAGTTACTGAAAAAAGTAACTAGTTGCCAGTAACGCGTTACTAGTAACTATAGTTACTGCCCAAAACTGGGCCCCAGCAGCCAAGTAATGTCTCAGACGGACGTCTGAGGCCCCTGGGGGCACCAACCAGGCTTGCCGGGGAACCACCGCCGGCACCGAACATCGAGCTCTCGCCATCCGGAAAACGTCTAGGTCATCCGAGGTTCCGACAACACCAGAAGTGCGGCGGCGAGTGAGCAGTACACCCCAGACTTGACTTTGTGTATATATATTTCGTGGTTACAATAACGTTATTCCGATTCTTTTCAAACAATACATTTTTCCTCACATCCACCGCGTCAGAATCCCGAGTTCATACTTCTTACCATCACACATGGCCTCCGAGATCCCGAAGCGCGCGCGAGCTGGTACGCAGCAGACAACAAAGGGTGCGGACGAGCAGACGACAAAAGGAGCGGACGAGCGGCTTGCACGCTTTCGCATTCACAACTCATAAGAAGTGCTTAGGTGTACCTCGAGCTTTTTTGTTTTCTTTTCGCTAGTTGTTGCACTTAAGCAGTAGCTGCTTCTCAAAGTTTCCATCGGTTATGCTTCCCCTCGCTTCCTTGAGAATACATCTCCGGCGACGCTGAAGAGTCTTTCCGCTGACGCGCTCGAAGGAACGGAACTGTTGTGCTTTAGGAAGAGCTGGTGAACCTGGGATTCCCATCTCTCTCTTTTGTTCTCACTGCTTCTAAAGTTCAAAGTTAGCAATTGGATCTGTAACTTCCCGTGTTGGCAGCCTCAGGGTTTACTTTCGGTCTGCACACGTTTTTAGAAAGGTTCAACCAACGTACATTATTGCGTTCATTGGGTCAAGGACATTTTCAGCTGTAGAGTTCGACTGATGTGTTCAGCGATAAACCTTAGCAGACTCTCATACTGTTTATTTGTTTTTCGGGTTGCCCATCTTCCCTTTGTCGCAATAGACGTATACTCAGGTTAGAATTAAACAACTGGCACGGAAAGCGTCGGCCATTAAATTGCAAACGCTCTTCACGGTTTGACTTACTTCGTCTCCTAAATCTAGGCTCTCTAGAGTTGCGAATACCCGAGGTTTGTTCAGCTTGTTAACAAAATCGTATCGTTCATCTTTATTTGGAGGAGGTGCATCTATAGAAGAAAGGCGCGGCTATTGGGGAAAGACCATGGAGTGCAGGACTCCGATGAGGGGCGCGCCGACGTCGTGGCCCGAGGCCCTGAAGTAGCCGTCCACGTCGTCGCGCTCCACGTCGTACGCGGCCAAGCACATGCCGGGGAACTCGTGCAGGAGGCGGGACATCTGCGGGCAAAAAGCGCGCTATATGGCCACTCGCAGGGCGAGAGCGGCAGGATATCGCCACTTTCGGGTCCGCGACCTCCAGCCTCACGCTCGTTGCTTTCCGTCGTGCTTGGGCGGAGGCTTTCACGCTCGAAGCTCGCGCGACGCCGGCTCGTTGTAGAAGCTGTGGTAATCGACAGGGATAAGAACGGCAGGAAGGAGTTTCAGTGGTCCCATCTCCGGTAACACTTCGGAGACTCTGGAACTTCGAGCTCCAGTCTCCGAATGGTTCCGGAGGCAGAATGCAAAGCCAAAGCACGACAGAAAACATCGAGCGCGTGCTGGAAACCGGGCGTCAGAAACAACAACAATAATAATAATATTATTATTATTATTAGCGTAAGTAGTGGTACTCTGTGTGGCTCACGGTGGGCCGGCGTAGGCACAGACCTCACGCGAGCACCGCGACGACGTCCACAGCTGAGCCCGTGTCCCGTGAGTGGGATGAATACGAGTCCCTGCCCATGGCCGTTCTCATCCTTTCGGTGACTATAGGAAGCCCGCGTCGGAGATGGGAAATCTAAAGACCTCCCCTGTCGTTCTCGCCCTGTCAGTGGCTTTAATATTGAGCCTCTCGGCCATTGTTGGCACGTTCCAAGCGAGGCACCTCGCGCCAGCAGCCGGACGCGTGCAGCCCTTGGCGCCACATGCGTGCCGCTGGTGCGAACTGACGTACTTATTCTAGGGGTCGCCAGTGTCTGGTGTCGAGCTGCAGGGCTGTTAAAGAGCAAGAAGTCCAGCTCTGCTGATCTAGTACCCCTGTCAGACGGCCTTCTAAAGCTCCTTTCCACTAAGCTCTGTTATGAAATCAGCCATTCAGCTCGCGATGTTGAGTGCTTACGTGCTAAGGCGTGCGCTGGTTCGCCGTAGAAGGGTATGCACTTGGGCTAGTTGGTGATCCATGTTTTTGAGGGTGAAAGCGCTAAAAACAACGGACAAGCAAAAGAAACGAACAACACAAAGAGCTACTTGCAACTGAAGTTTATTCTTCAGTTGCAATTAGCGCTCTGTGTTGTTCGTTTCTTTTACATGTCCGTTGTTTTTAGCGCTTTCCCCCTTAAAAAGCTGGTTCGCCGATTTTATAAAGGAGCTTGTTCTAAAAGCCTTTAAAATGCCCGTCTGACAGGGGGTATTAGACGCCTTCCATCACTGAACGCAAGAAATCGAGTATCTTATTTATTCGTGGCTATTAGGATTAATTTTGACGATGACCTTAAATGTGCTCGGGGCTATTCCACGGCACGTTCCTCCATAGTCCCGTTTAGGTATCAAGATAATTGACAATTCCCTTTTTTTTTTTTGCCCGATCGGTGGAGGAGTGGAACGAGCTTCCTCCTCAGTTGGACCGGGGTCGCTATATATGTTTGTTCCGCAACTGGTTTAAACTGTTTGCGTGTTTAACTTTTGGAACGGTGGTTCAGATGTTTTTGCCTATGACATAATTCTTTGTGAATTTGTGATTTATTTTGTGCATTACCTCGTGAAATTGGCAATATTGTTATGATGCCTGTGACGCGTTTCTGACTGGAGTGTTTAGCGCGTCGTCAGTTTCCCTTAGTTTTCGCCTAATGACTCCATAGAGGTGGCATGTTGTCCTCTGCCGCGATCCTAGCGGTGCCTTCCAATGCTTACGTATACACTTCCGCTGCTCCTATTGGCGAGATCTTGGATCCAAGTAACATATGTCTTTCAGTCTAGAGTACCTTGTGTATAACTGGTGAAACATTTGTCCCAAAACGCCGAAGGGACCTCCGCGATATCCTTGACACGAAGAGCGCAAATGCAATCCGAGGTTACCTTGTGAACAAGACTGTGTCGGTCTTCGAATCCGTAGAAGACGTAGTCCGTGTTCAGGAAGCGAGACATGGATCGAGGGTTGGACTTGACCTCTCCGTTGTTGAGCAACCCGCAGACCTGGGAACAGAACGAGGATAGGACATTGAAGAGTTTTGGTGCAAGTTCATAGGGTTAGGGCAGCACCTTCTAGACAGCAAGGTCATAGTGCTGAATATTCTACCTCACCTGAAGGATCCAACGCGAGGTACGGATTGGACACTCGTTGCGTCAGCGTATGGCTAAGCCTCGTGCTTGATCAGTGGGAAGTCCGCGGCCTCAGTGGCACGCTCGCCGACAAACGACCAGCAACGTTCGGTGACCAAACAGACTACCCTAGGGACTCTTGTGCCTTTGCATGGTCGCCGAGCATTGTGTTGGTCCCCTTTCATGCCAATAAAGGCTCTGACGGACCGTTGACGCACCTTTCCCCTCTGATACAAACACTTTCGATGGCTTAACATTTAGCTCAACTTCAACTGCCTGTGTAGCACGGTTGACTCTAATCGGGAACCGCAACGAGACAGGGTTTAGAGACAATTTGAAACGAACCCAACGGTTCTTTTCATATGAAAGTGGGGTACGCATGCAAACACTTTGTGGTCCTTCAAATCTCGCGAAGCAGATATATAAGTTGTAGAGCCATAGAAAAGTCAACGCGGCGTGGAAGTTCGTCTGCTTCATTTGCAGGGGTTGAGATGGCGTCAGAAAGCCGAGCTCTGATTGGCTCCGACTAAAGGATAGTGGGTAGACCTCAAGGCAGCTTGCTTTGAAGTCTACCCACTATTCTTCAATCATAGCCAATAAGAGCTCGGCGTTCTGACGCCACCACAACCCCTGCAAAAGATGCAGACGAATTTGCGCCGGCACATTTAGCGCACCCTTGGTATCCAGATCAGTGAGACAAATCATATGATTTTCGTGCTTAACTTTTATCTCCTGATGGAGTATAAATGTTTAGAGCAATTTGGAAACTGTGCACATTTTCGACATCTATTAAGGCGAAAAAAAAAAAAACAAAAGCTGAGTCACCCTACGCGATGTCTGATATTTTGCATATAAAAGCGGATGTTCAAGCTAGAGTACTGCATGGGCCCGGGCCATCCCGAAAACCCGAGCCCGGCCCGGCCCGGCCTGCGGGCCGGGCTCGGGCCGGGTAGCACGCATTTTCTCGGCCTCAAACCAAACTTAAAATTAAAAAAAAAAAAAAATAATAACGACGTTTTGTACTTGGAAATTCTTCACGTGGATACAAGGAAACGTATGTGATTCAACCAGCATGGTGGGAAAGTGCGGTCAAGAAACGAGGGCAAAAAGTGATCTTGACTTTGCACTTTGTGGAGGGGGCCTTACTATGGCCACCAAAGATGAGCTAACTACCATAGATAATTTTATGCTTATACAGCCGTTTGAAGATGCACTAGCGTGATTGTGATTGTTTCTTCACAAAAAAACATGTAAAGAGGAAATTTTTCTTTGAAACGAATAGACCTATTGCTATATTACCCAAGCATCAAGGAGAATGCAGGGATTGGTGTTCCACGCGCCGCACGTGATGGCCGCAGCGATAGTAAATTTTCTAAAGCAAAAACCTAAAAAAAATTTATCTTGCACGCGCGTTCGTCAACGCTTTATTTTGGTTGCTTACTTCGAATATTTTATACGGGGAAGGCGTGTGGCGCGTGGAACACCAATCCCTGCATTCTCCTTGATGCTTGAGTAATATAGAAAATTGTCTATTGAACGACGAAAAGTCCAATATCTCTCCAAGAAATGCCTACACTAAACAAAACATCGCCCACTCTTTTTTTCTCAAAATCACTTGTGATGTGCATATTTCGCCCAAATTCTCGAATATACATCGTCAAAGTCAGAATATTTATCGTGTAAAAAAAAAAAAAAAAGATCGGTCCAAGTTTAAAATAAATTTAAATAAAATATGCTCGCTTTATGCTTAGAAAGTTTGTAGACTAAAGCCTGCAAACTTTTTCGGGCTCATGTACATAATCTGTCAAACTCGGGCCGGGCTTAAACTTATATTAAAAAAAAAAAATTGTCTAGCTCGGGCTGGGCTTAAGCTTCTGTCTAAAAACGCTGCCGGGCCCGGGCCGGGATCGGGCAGTGTCTCTTCCGGGCCGGGATCGGGCAGTGCCTCTTCCGGGTCGGGTCGGGCCGGGCCTAGCAATTCTGGCCCGTGCAGTGCTGTAGTGTAAGCTCGGAGCACGTTCCATAGACGGCAAAAATGGCTGCGCGCCATTGGTCATTATGTTTATTAGGCTGCTCGTGCGTTAATGCAGCCTCGGGCACCTGGAATACTTGCCTCATGCAGGCTCGTGTAATCGTATCGGGTGATCCGGGCGAGGTGCATGTACAGGCTGTCCCTGATGTTCTTGATCACCCCCAGGGACAGGCTGAGGCACCAGCCGTCCGCTCTTTCCAGAGACTGGCGCAAGGCCCATACCTTGGACAGCTGCTGCTTCTGGAAATACGGGATATGATGACGTAGCGTCGAAGAGCGACTTTCAGTTAGTCTTGCCGCTGAGAGTGTATTGCGTTAAATGTTCTAACCTGTTGACCCGCTGTGAGGGGCACCTACTGGACTAGTAAAAGGCAGTTTAGTGGCAAATAATTGTGACTACAAGGTTTAAGGATTTCTGTTTGTGGAAACTATTTTCGGGCTATTAGGAATTGTTTCAAAAGGACCCGAGAAAAACGTTCTCGAATAGTTCGTTTTCGTTCCACCTAAAGCCCTCGTGATCGGTTGCATAGCTCGTTAAGTATCCATCCTAGTTTCCCTCCAGACCACGGTGAACAAATCAGGAGCAAGTCCTGTGCACTGCCGGAGCATACACAGCCTTCACCTCCATTACAGGGGGTCATTCGTGGACAGTGATGCAGCTATACCGATGAAGATTAGAATGAGGAACCATCGCGGCCTTAAACTTCGAAAGAAACATTTAAAAGGGGTACTCCGGCGTTTTCTTCATAATTTGTCTGACAATTTAGTAATCGAAATATTGGGCCAAAGTGTTTTTTTTTTTTTTTTTTGCGCGAAGTTATTGAATTTACAATTTTGGTCCTCGTCGTGTTTTTTCAAAGTGAAAGCCTCCACGGACAACAATTGAGAAGTGACCTCAGAATAATGCAGGGGTTCACTCTTTGGAGTGTAGACTTCGTCTCCAACTGATTGCAAGCAGTTTCATGGTGTTAAATGAATGCTTTGGAAGCTCGCTCAAGCATCCTCCCCGCAGCACGAAGCAAATGCTCGGCGGAGTAAATTTTTAGACTGACTGCTCGACTAGCGCCACTGTGAGCATACACAATGGCGGTAAGCTCGACCTTCCAGCCTGCCTTCTCCTGACGTCACGGCACTGAAAAGTGCGGGTATATTTGAATATTGGTTTTGGTATCATTTTCACTTGCCGATTTCACAATAACTATTACGAATTTCGTGACACTAAGTGGCATAGCGGAAAGGGTAAAGGCCACCTATAGTTAGTAGGGGTAGCTAAGAAAATCGCCGGGTGCCTTTTTAACGCGGTACTCCGGCGATTTCTAGAGCTACCCCAACCAACTATATTTTCGGAATCACTGGAATTCACCCTTTGCGGTATGCTATTTAGTATCGCGAAATTCATAGTTGTTATTGCGAAGGCGGCAAACGAAAGTGACGCAGAAATCAGTATTCAAATAAACCCGCACTTTTCAGTGCCAGGGCGTCAGTGGCAAGCAGACTTGCAAGTCGAGCAAGTTGTCTAGAAAATTGAATATGCCAAGCATTTGTTCCGCGCTGGTGCGCGGGTACTGAAGCGAGCTTCCAAAGCACTCATTTGACACCCTGCTTCGAATCAGTTGGGAACAAATTCTAGAGTCCAAAGAGTGAACCCCTGTCTCCGTTTGGCGTCACCTTTTCGTTGATGAACCCGGAGACGGGAGAAAGATGAGGATGATGGAGAGGAAGAACAGGAGTCTTACTCTCCCTCATCGTCATCTTTCTCCCTAGTCTCAAGGTTATACTTCATCATGTGTAATCATCACCAGCTCGTCTGCGCTCTAACATTCTGTTCACTTCTTCGTTGTTGCCAGTAGAGACTTTCAGCTTAAAAAAACACGGTTCTGACCAAAATCGAAGGTGCGAAAACTTCGCGAAAAATAAATATTTTTATCTAATATCTGGGATACTATTTCAGTGTGATGTTTGTTGGTGTGTAGTGCCTAATCAGGAGGCTATTACCTAACACTCTCTGAAGTCGTTTAGCACTGCAAGGTCTGTTCGCTCAAGGAGCAGAGACCACCCACACGGTCGGAGGAATGCTTTAAACCGTTTCGCAGAGGAGGCTACTCACGAGGAAGGTGCCATTGGTGACCGCCTTTCCCGACGGCTGGTACGGATTGGGAAACCGAATCGAATGCTGGTGGTCCGCTTCAAGCTCCTGGCTCTCGAATATAATGTGCTCCAGGTGCCTGGGACATTGTGGCAGAGGCAGAATGTTCAAGGCTTCCATACTACATTATCTCAGAAATTGGGGGTGTACTACTTACACCCTTTGTCCCATATATAACATCCATCACCCCCCAAAAAAAAACTACAGTTCGACGTTCAGTCGACTGACTTCGAACCGACGATGCTAACTTTCACGAGCGGCTTGGTAGCCGAGTGATATAACTTATTAAAATAGCTAATGGACTCATTAAATACTACATGAAAACACTTAAGGTTTTGATGGCCCTGCAGCAAAACTTCAGCGTTTTTTTTTTCTCTAGTTTTTGACACGTACTACATTAGCTATTTAGAAAGTTATATCTAGGTTCCGTGCTTTCGGATAAATCAGATAAAATGCAAAAAATACAAGCCGGTAGCTTTTTTTTTTTTTTTTTTTGAAATTCAGTTTTTTTTTAATGACTCTAATTTGGAGGGAAATGAAACAAAAACAAGGAGTTTTTCACAAATTAAGTTTCGCCTCAGACAGGTCCAGGGACCAGCGGTCATTAGGAGGCCTCCCCATAGATTCCTTTAAAATATCGTAGTATCGACCAAAGAATTTTCACCGCTTATCCAGTCGGGGTTCGTTCAACGTAACGGGGCATTGTAAACGTTTCTGAGCCCAAAATAGCGTTATCAGTTTATTCTGCTGTTGTGCGCCGCCATTCGTGTCCTAAAACCGACACCGTTGCGCAGCCGGCATCCCAAAGAGCGTCGATACTTGCATGAAGCGTGAAGTGCGTTTTTTTACTGAGGAAATTTCAGCACACTCAGATATATAAACCGAAGCCCGCTCACAAAAGTTTGGCTAGACCCAGAACAGTGCAATCGAAACAATCCCTGCCGCCCGCGGCATAGCCAGAGGGGAATTCAGCCCCCCCCCCCCCTTTTCCCCCCTCAAGAAAAAAAAAAAAGAAGAAAAATTTAGCCGATTTTATAATACACACATGCAATTGACCCCCCCCCCCCCCCCCCCCCCCTCCCCCGGAAAAAAAGTTATCGCTACGCCACTGTCCGTCATCATATTTTTTCTATACTGACGTAATTTCGTCCACCATTTTGTTGTTGTGAGCTGTCAGGTACGTGTGTGCCAAACTCGAGCATTCGAAGGATTTGCATGCCCCCTCAAATGCGTAGAGCACAGAAGCTTATGTCTTACCACGTGGATATCATCTCAACCGGTTACGATGTAATCTTTCAATGTAGTGAATTTGTTTGAAAACACAAACTAACAACAAAATGGCGGATTGACGTCATGTGCAAACAACCTATTGTGAGACTTGACTGACTGAGCGTTTGACCCACACTTCTTTCATAATACAGCGGTGAAATTACTCTAAGCAGATTGGCTGAGCGCGAGAATGCATAACGATATGTCAAATATGAAAGTTGGTGCTTCGTAATGACTGTCAGCGAAGCAAAGAGCGCTAAGTTTGACTCGAGCCCCTGTAAACGAAAAAGTGGCGTGATTCCTCCTCTCCCAGCCACTTCCACCCCTGGCTGCTTGACACCATTCTTGAACTAAGGCGCCAGCGAGAAGGAACATTTGGAACAATGAAGCGCGTTATTTTTTTTTTTTATACGGGATGTTTTTGCGAATATTTTTAGAAATCCCTGCAAACAAGATGTGTAAAAAAAGAAAGAAGAAAGATACTCTTTTGCATGGAGAATAGAAGGGTAGGAGAGGGCATGACGTCGGCCGCGTAGCCTCCACAAGCCATGCTCCCTTGACGCCTCGCCTCTTTCTCATTTCCCTCCTCACGCTCACCACATCACGTGACCGTAGCTAGCCTTCGTCTAGCCTTCGATCTGATAAAAACTACCGGACGGAGCGCGTGCAAGCCTGCAAGGAATCCTCCTGCAATCAACCATCCATCTTACACGTGACATGTCACGCGCACCAATCGCCAGAGAGATCTGCGGTCACGCTGGGCACAAAATCGTTTAAACTTTTTATGACTATGCTTCAGCAATATTGCAACGTGCCCCCTCCTAGTACTTATAACCTCCTTGCTCTTTTGGGAAACAAGCTGCCCGTCATGGCGGGCGTCATAAATAGCAAAATTAAACACGCAAATTATGATAAAAAATATACTAGTTGCCTTTATAAAGTGAAAATAAACGTATGCGGTTTCAAATAGAAACTTGCCTAGCGTCATCGAAAACCCCTTGTGCAAGTCAATTTTAGGAAAACTCGAATCACGTGGGCAGGCACCAAGGTCCGCTGAAAATTCAAGCTCATGCAGCAGGTGGAAGGCTCCAGCAACCCGAAAACAATGACGAGTTTCTCATCATCCGCGTTTTCACGTTCATCCTTCGGCGCTCTTATTGGCTAATGCTGCACTGTGATTGGCTGCGCAGCTAAAAGAAGGTACCCGGACCTCACCATATTCTGCGTTTTTTTTAGAGTGATTATAGTTGATTGGCTTCACCCGCACAAGTATCGACACAAATCACCAGGTTTCAACATTAACTTGGATTAATTGTCAATTTCCTTGTATGTATAAAAAAGAAACAGTTCCAATCGGACCATGGACTGAGGTCGGGCAAAACTCCTGCCGAGTCCTTACATCGACACGTCCTCGAAGAACTTCTTATCGGGTAGGAGCGCCGATGAGATCCTCAATATTAGGTACAGGTCAGTCGGGTGGATCCGGTGGAATGTCTACGAAGAAACGAAGCAGGCACACGCACTTTGAGGCTCGCGTCGTCCCGTTCATTATACTGAACGCAAATACAATACTTCAACACCAGTTCAGAACTTGGTAGAATCGTGGACTTTTCACCGCGAAGACAATTCTTTTCACGTTTCTTAGCGTTTCAATGCATGTAAAGTTGCTAAATTGGCATTCCTACCGATATTAATTGAAAGTTGTCACAATGCTGCGACATTTACCAATATGTCACGTTCAGTTATTTCTCTTATTAGGGAGTTTTCGTAGATAATTTTTGCCGTCCCGCAACGCTGTCCGCGACCCTCTAAGATACCCGGAACTCCACAGTCAAGGCCATCGGCGCGCAGGCGCAGTAGCGGCATCTTCGTTGCGGAGGGTTTAGCGGAGGGGGAAACGCCGGTCTACGAAAACTCCCTAATCTCATTGAAACCTCCCTAACTCATTATACAATCCTAGCGCTCATTCAGGCGGCACTCTAGCGCTAAATTATATGACAGGCAGGTGACGTGAGGAGTCCAGCACAACGGCCTTGAACTCTAGGAGGTTCTTGATGGCCCCAGGAGGCGACATAGAAGGCCCAGCAGTGCTGCCCCTTCCATCGAGGTGTTGGTATGTGTCGGCCTTACCCTTAAGAGGAGGACGGCCGCGTCCAGGTCCTCTTGGGAGCCCGCCCTGAGCTCAACCCCCGACAGCTCGTGCTTGCTGAGGAAGCGAGAGACTGCTCCCACCAGGGCGGCGCTGCCGTTGTCGCGGAACATGGAGCAGCCCACGGACACGTAGCGCTTCACGTGGTCCCTGACCTTCAGGAACTCCGACAGGGCCTCTTTGTCTGGCCCGGGCCAGAGGGAAGAAAACACGTTACACTTGCACCCGACAAAAACGCTGGAACCACAAGGAAGAAAATAGTTTGTTTCGTAAAACACTCGCTTAACCTAACCTTTTCGTACTTCATCTAAAGTAACGTATCCTGGCCTAACCTAACTTAACCTGAGTTAATCTAACCTAACCTGATACCACCTAACTTAATCCTTTGTGACTTGACCTAACCTGAGCTAACTTAACCTGGCCTAGCCTCGCCTAACATAGTCTAGCCTGGTTTAAGTTAACCTGACCTGATCTGAACTCAACTGAACTGACCTGACCTGAACTTAACTGAAGTACTTGACATGACATTACCGGACCTAAATTAACACTCGATGCCCTCGAGCCCGCGATACGGAACCTCGTTTCGGACTCGCGTTTTCTGCGCTTTCGTTACTTTAGTCGTTACGTTACGTTACGGATGTTACCTTACGCTTTCGGCGAGAGTAGCTTTTTGAAAGCGTAATATAATATGTCACCGACACACCGTGAAGCGCAGCCTTGCGCTGCACGCCGGCCACTCCCAGTGGCCGGCGTTAGCGACCGTGTGACTGTAGCGATAACATAATGTCGTCCCGGTTCGAACATATATTCTTCTAAATGTAGAAGAGGTGAAAGTGCAATGTTGACCTTTTCGTTTACCCTCGTCCCCAGCCACATGGTTGACGAACCCGGTATGCGGGATGAAGAAAAAGCGAGGCATAACAGCCTGGAATCAATAAAAGAATCTGGAAGAGCCAAAACAAGGATGCCAGACAGTCGCGACTGAAAGTGAGTTTCTCCCACTAAAATGACGACAGCAAAACGTTATTTTTCCGCTTACCGGAAGCTTTCCGATTCAAAATGGCGGCGCCCGCGTAGAAAATGTATACACATGCGCAATGCCCATTGCGTCCGAAGTCTGGCTATGAATCTCGGTACGTAGACGATTTCGTCGAGATTGACCGACCCCAAAACGGATTCTACATGTGCAAAGAACTGCCTGGAGCATTTGCTCGTCTCGATGAGTAATCGACGCAATTTCTTTCATTTAGTGTTACGGTATCTTTGTGGTAACATATCACAAGCAAGGGGACGGATGTTACAATAGAAGATGAAATAAGAGAAGCAGTATAATTATTTCCGTCGTTCGCAATCTTTGTCTTATTTTCTCTATTTTTTTATTTTTGCTTGTTTAACTCTTACCTAGTGCCACTGCTTGTAGTAACACTTTGTCGCAGACGCAACCACAACCCTAGAAGACAACGGGCGCGTGCTGGAGGCGAAACATCAATGGGGTTCTTAATTAATCGTGGCAAATGAACGCCCTGGTTTGAGATTGTTGTTTCACCTTGTGGTGTCTTGGCCATCTATTTGTGAACCAGCATCTTTAGTGCCCAGAGGCGAAGGTACGACGCATATTTACCGGTTACAGTTGCAACCCCCTCCCTCCCACATCCACACACGCACATGAGCGTAACCGTGGCAAGGCATACCCGGCACGTGGAAGTAGTAGGCGCCGTAGTCGTCCTCATCTACGATCAGTTCCCCCGTAAAGATGGCGTGGGAACAGTAGGTGCTGATGGCGCGGGGAAGTTCGCCGCTGCCCACGCCGCTCGTGCCGCAGATCAGGACCTCGGGGACGGCAGGGATCACTGGCACGTCCTCTGCAACCCGTGGTATACCAACCGGAAATATGGCCAACATCGCTCAGACATTGGCTTTGCAAGCTGTTGCTAGCAGCCGCGCCTCAAAAAGTCAAAAGCTTTGGTCTGGCCACCGTGAGTGAAAAAAAACAACAAAAAACGCATTGTTGGAGCGCGGTCTGGCAGCTCTGGAAACACTATGGCAAGGCTTGACCATCTATACGTAATCCAACGGCAAGATGACGGCGCCCGGTAACGCTCAGCGTGTCCTTGTGCTCTGAAATGACGGGCATCGTATGGGCGTTCGCAGGATCGCGTCAAGAAATCTTTAGTGACGGAGCACAAAAGAACCCATAGAAAGCCCGAGGAAAGTCACGCGAAATGCGATAAAAGCAAACGGGGTGCGCTCAAGGCGTCCGCTACAGAGGTTCAACTCACTTCGCGATTTTGCGGTGATAAACGAGAGCCTAGAAAATCGTCGAAATTCAAAAATGTCAAAAGCAATGCAAAAAAAAAAAAAAACAATAGAAAGAAAGAAAAAAATGAGCGAAAGCGAAGCATGGGCCATGATGCTTGCTTGGTCGATGGAAATTTTCCGATCGCACGTGTCCTCGAGACGGCGCGACCATTACCGATATCCGGAACATTACTCTTATGTGGTTAATTTATACTTAGTATAATAGATAAAACACAATCCGCATAGTGTACAGGATTTGATTTGATTTAAATTCTTTATTTGCATCACATATTAAGTACATTATACCGAGGGGTGTGCAAAAAAAAAAAAATCTATCACGAGGACGCACAAGAAAATCTTACACATTCTTTTTTTTTTTTTTTCGTACAGCAAAAGTCGCATGGGAGTTAATATAGCTCCTTAGTGATTTGAATGTTGTATCTTGAAGCTCAATATCTCCTCAGTATCTAATCAATATAGTAGTCTGGGCGGTTTATTTTGCGGCATCTCTGCATGGCCACCTGTTTTCTACTGATTCGTACGATCCGGCGTTTATTGATCGGTATTTTCCGGCAGATCATGAAAGCAACAAATTCCTAATTGAAAACTGGGGACATCCGCCTCGTCTTGGTTTCAACGCGGGAAATGACGGCCACACGCGTGTGATGACCGCAAACGTACGATGCTGGAGAATAGGATCCAGACATCTACGCGTTACTGAAATAGAGTGACTATAAATACCGTTATTCATTACTCACTCATAAAGTAACTATGTACATTACAACGTTACAGCAATTCAAAAGAAACGTGTTATTTCAACTTGAAATTCGTTTTTCAATTTGAAATTCGTTTTTATGAAGCTTCCAATATTTGTTATTAATCTTTTCCTTTTTTTTTTTTTGCTTTCTGACGCGTTTGTTTGGGGATAACTGTGGCTATACCCCCATATTGTGTGCACATCCCTGTAAGGTTCACGTAGCGTTTTATTATCACGCAAATTACAGGCTCGAGCTGTGGTGAGAACTAAGTTGGGTACTTGTGCTGTACATGTTCCCCTCCAGATGGCACTAATTACCGCTCCTTGCGAGTTCATCATAAGGTAACGGAAATACCGTTATAGTTCCTTCTACTAAAAAGAAACGAAGCCGTTACTTCGTTACTAAAAAAAGTAACCGAGTACAAATAACGGGCTACTTGTAGCACGTTATGCACAAGTCTGATGGGGCCTCACCAAACTCTCTGTATGGCACGAACTTCATTGCTGAAATAAACAGAAGAGTAATAAAGTCGTGAGAATAATCGTTTTTGCAATAACTCTAGATCAGCTGTACAAAGAGTATTTGATCTGCGCTCCATTCGTTGTTCACAGGCAAACCCCCCAAAGAGCGCTGCTTGCAAAAAAATATGATGAGAGAAATGGTTGCTATAATCAAGAGTGCGGATAGATATTTAAATCGTATCAAATGGGCTGAAACACTATTTAATCTCAAGTAAAGGGAAATAAGACATATGGCTAGGTGGCGCAAGTCAGCGCCCGACTCAGAACGAACAGCCATCATGCATCTATCCATTCATTCTTCCAAGTCCTTTGCGCCCTCATCGTGGCCACAGCCCCACAGGCTCGTTCGATTTGCTTGCACCTCCTGCTCAGGTGCAGAAAAGTGTAGGGCGGTGCACTTCCGGTCGTATCTCAATGCATATACAGGAAGTACACCGCCCCGTACGTTTATGCACCGGTGCAGGAGGTGCATGCCAATCGAACGAGCCTTTGGTGAAAAGTTCTCGCGGCACCTTACAATAAAGAATTTCTCAGTACTATAGTCACCTCGTTTGGAAACCTTGGCTGGCACCGTCACGGTGGTCGTCGTGTTGGGAGTTCCTGCAAACAGAAGCTTCGATGGGCACTTCCGGCGCTCAACTGTTCTAACTTCTAACCGGAAACGGCGAGTATTTGGACAGACGAACCATCATCCACCCAGTGGGATGGATGATGGTTACTTGGCCTGCACTGACGTCACACCGGCTGCCATTGTGGTAGCCTAGGGGATGAATACGTGCCTCTTTGCCGCCTAGATTTTGCATCAATGAATTTGTTTTTTCTTTGCAAGAATAAGCAGAAATGACCACCAGCTTGGTGCATTGACGGTGCATGCAAAGTGTTAAAATTGAACTGACCGTAAAGCCGTAAGTCGTAAAGGCGCCTCGGACGGCATTCTAAGATGAAGCGAAATTGGGTGTCATACTTCCGTCGTCACAACTTCAGTGCAGCTCCAACAACGTACGTCCGTTATCTTAACCTTAGTGACTTCATTCATAGCCTCCTCTATACTCACACAGTTTGCACTTCGACAACGGAGCCATAGAGTGCCCGGTCGCAAAGTTGGAGCGCGAGGATCTGGTAGCACAGAGCATCAAAGAGCCATTTCTCGGGGAACCTGGACGTCAGCGCACAGCTTTTGCAGCGGCGATTAAGAACCCGAAACACGCTTGTTCGCTCGGGATAAGTGTGTTTCGGCGTCTTGCCGCAGCGGGGCGCCAGTCACGTGGCTCTCCTCTCATTCGTTGTCTTCCGCTCCACCTTTTTCATTTCGGCGGCCGCTTCTCATGGCGATCCGCCAGGCTTTGTCAGTAATATAGGAGGCTATGCTTCATCTTAACAGAGAATGAGCCGGATGGTGTGCGTCATCACGGTGTACGCCTGCTCGGATGACGCGTTCGAAAGTATTCGCCTGTTCTCACTAAATGCAAAAGAAAAAAAGTCATTTGAACGACGCCAATAGGCGAAAGCTTGAACTACCGTTGGCGTCCGGGAGGTAAGCTTCGATACCCATTCTGCCTCCCCCGCGGCTTATCTGAGTCGCGGAGGAGGCAGGAGAAGTAGCGCAGCTCCCCCTTCGGACGCCAAACGTAGTTCGACCTTTCGCCGCTACGTGAGGAGGGCGGGCGCATGCGCAGAACTCTTGCAAAAAGTTTCATTCTGACGAAGATGTTACAGTGTGTTTAGGGTCAACATATGGAATGGATGCAACGTTCTGTAATGTGTTGTCGAATGCGTGCTGCGGGTGAGAGGACGCAAAGTTGCTTTGAAGATTGGGTGAGGAACCAAATATTAAACATCGCCGATTATTCAGTCAACGTCACCTCTGACTCGAACTTCCTCAGCTTTTGATATACTGAAGGGCAATCTCGGATAGGGAAATGCAGTGCTGACTGCTGACGCGTGGCATTTCTAGCTTGCTTCCATATAACAGTAGCTAAATAGCATATACAGTTCCTCTAGCATGCATAACTCCTCCCCTCTGGAATGGCCTCAGCTCAAAAGATTACGTTAAAAGTAAAAAAATACGCGAAAAAAAAGACTATTTACTGGCCTGTGGTTGTGGCGCCTGTAGTTACTGAAATAAAGTAAATATTGACATACATTAAATTTTTCTCAAGATGAACCGACTCAACTTGTCCGGACACATGGATGGTTAAATCGAATCACTGATAAACATTGTGAGATAATTAAATGTCAACCATTTATTAATTACTTAAAGGCCCTTTTTGCAAGGGAATTACATAATTGCCCAACTGCCGCTTTGTGTTTAGCTATAAATGCAAAAGTGGCACTACGGCTTATATCTGATTGACTTCGTTATCGATGCATTCTACAAGTTCAGAGTTTGATTTGAAATGGTTGAGCACCGGTACAGCATTATAATTAAAGCGCGGCTGTGAAACGGTAATTGTAATTTGGTTCACAATCCACTGCCAGGATTTTCTATTAGACTTCAAAGCATGGAAACACCCAATCTGTGCAGGTTTTTTTATATTTTATTTTGACCAAGCTACAGGATTAAGTTATGTCTAAGAGCAATGCTTTCTTACCTGTAGTTGGAGTAACGTCTGTGAAGAGAAATGTAATAAAGCTAGTTAAGAAAAGTGGTGTAAGATTAGCTGTCATGGTCAACATCCATGAGCATATCGTAACAGGGGGTTCGCTTGAGCCGAAGTAAAATGGCGCAAGCGCGGAACTGACAAGTATATTTCCTGCACGTAAATAAACAAAGATCGAGTGCTATGGTCGCTGATGACAGTCCGACTAAAACGAGAAAAAAAAAAAAAAAAAAAAAAAAAGTCGACACCGACAAGCCGCACGCACGTGCAGCAAGGACGGGAAGGTACCTTTGGCAGGCTTGCAATCACTCGAGCTCAGTTCACGGGCATCGAGAGACCCCAAACCCGCCAAAGGCACATTCGCGTTCATACTGCGCGTGTTTGAGACTTGTTGGCGTCGGTTGTTTGTTTGTCGCCCTAGTGGAACTCAGGCATGAAAGGATGAGAATGACAGTGCGTTTCTGTGCCCGGCACCAAGCATGCGCTCGCTGCATGCCTTCCGACTTGCTTCGGATGCGCTTGAACGCTCGCGATTCACTTCGAATTTATTTCATTCACAACTGCACTCCGAGTGACTAGCGTGCGCTTGATTGAAGACTCGTCATAAGTGGCATGGAGCAGCTCTCATCTGACGCCCTTTGAGAGATAGCGTTAGCGTCAGGGTCCATGGGGCGATTAACATGGCCGCCTGGAAGTGCCACGAAGCGCATTCGGGAAACCTTCAGAAGCAAATTTTGACACTCTGGTTGGCGCGTTTTCGTGAACGTCACATCGTCTGGTTTACGATGTGGGGAAGGGGGGGGGGGAGGGGAAGGGGAGGAGGAGGGGAGGAGATGAAGGGAGGCATCGGTAAACACGCCTCAGTGATCCATGCCTTTAGCCGGCTCACATGTTCCTTACCGTTTAGATTTTTTTATATTTTTTTGTATGGGCGCCGTTATTTTAAAAATTGCGGCGCCTACGACGTTGTCTAGCGACTTAAAACTTCTGGTTCTGGCAGCACAGCTACCTGGGTAGGCAACGGTGTGAGCATGGGAGGGACTTGGCTTGGCTGTGGGCTAGAATAACTTGTCTGGGACTTGTCAGGTTCGAATCCAGCTGGCTAACGACAGACCATCACAATGCCTCCCCGAAAGAACGAGGATGAAGACGGTGTGTTTTGGATTGAGTTTCCACAACGAAGGCATATATGTGCAGTGTAATGCAGTCTATACCATGGAGCAATAGCGTACCTTGCAGTGATGACCCATATAATCGGAGCACCTGCACCGGGTTAGAATCGGTCCTCTTGTCGCGTAGACGAAGTATTCGTGAGCATAAAAGTGACGATGAGTTTTACACAAAGCCCTCCCAATTCACGCTCGCAATCTAATGACTTTATGAAATAAGGGTCCTCGGGGAAAATGCGAAGCTCAATAACATTGCAGTCATACTCGTGCTTCAGCTTCTTGTGCTTATCGCACACTTTCCGTGAGTGTTCATATGATTATTAAAATTATTTGTGCATCCGACGACGACGCATGATAGCCAGACAACCGTAGATTTTCGTAAATTGTAACACGGTAAAAAGAAGCACTCGCAACTAACTCACGCACGGCGTCCATTTCTAAGCCTTTTCGCCCATACCTTTGGCAACTGCATACCCTCTGTCAGTGGGCATTCCAAGAATGCACCAGGTCCAGGGTACGCCAGTCGCGCGCTGGTGTGAGATTATGCTAAAAAGGTCTCGCTTAAAAGCCGACTACCATGACTCAAGATTCTGCAAGGCAGAAGATCCTCCTCACCATGGGAGAGGAGCAACAGGCAACGGTGGACAGGGTAGAAGGGGGAGAGGAGGAAGGGAGGAAAAAGTGGAAAGTGCGAACTGGTTGCCGATCTTTAAACTTATAAGGCCCCCTCCCTTCTCTCCTCTCTGTTCCCCCGTTAACCAGGTGATCTGACGTCCATAAGAATGGACCAATCAGAGTGCCGGAATCGGCCTGTTGACATATTCTACGAGCTTTTCCGAATAGGCCACGGGGAAAGAGTGGCCCACCTGAGGAGAGCAGATGGGAAATTAAGAGTATCAGGAGCATGATGACGAGGAGCACCGCCGCCACGGCGTCCCAGGACATCGTCTTTTGCCAGGGCTGGTCGTGGTGGAAGGACCTCCTGCGAATTCGGCACAAACAAACCAAATGCAAAAAAAACAAAAACAACAACAACAACAACAACCACAGGTTGCGAGTGCATCACGCAGTGAATTATGAGAAAACCCTGTAAGCTTAATCTTTATTCCGCATCACGTGTCACGTGACACTGAAGGGGTGGAGAAAGAGAGGAGGAGCACGCTGTTGCTCGCATGCTTTTGCCAACTCGACGGCGTTGCCTCCGACGCCTCCGTTGTCGGCTACATCCCGTTTCATACATCCAGTTCCCAGAATTTGTTTCGGCGCCGCGAGGGGCGCTGCACGTTTTGCAACACACAAATTGTCGAGCGCATATAAGGTCTTTTAGTAATATAGTCTTAAAAGCAGTATCTTTTTTTTTTTCTTCCTCTTGTGAACGTTTTAGCGTTTGGTATTCGACAAATACAGCACCACCAGTAAGTGTAGCTGGGGAACGATGGACTTTAAATACAAGTATGCATATGTACATTTATTGTTCTGGTCTGATCAGAAAACGGGCCTAGTGAACCACAAATAAATATACTGGCCTGTACTCACGCCAGGCCTCTATGTATGGCTAAGGCAGTCTAAGTAACTTTCTACTGCTAGAAAGCAGGGATGTGTAAATCAAAATTGATTAACCGTATTTTTTATTGTATGAATCTAATTTTATTAGGTTAATTAAGGTTTCTATTCACTGCCATTTTTTTTTTGGAATTCTCAGCAGAGCAAATAAATGAGACGATTTGACAACAGATTGAGTAATTCAATCTGTTGAAACGTGTTTTGCTCAACTACGTTCTTTATAGATTTCAAAGATTCGGTAACAGTTCCCACATCTTACGTCCGTGGAGCTAAAATATGCAGACTCAATCGGGCTATTTGGTCGGGTACCTCAGGACTTGACGGGATTGTCAAGAGTGGTCATGCATGCAATAGCATTTTAATTCTGGCAGCGTTAAACTTACGAAAGAAAATTGAAGACGCGTGCGAAGCAAGAGCTAGGTTATTTCACAGTAAAACCAGACCATATGCCTCTAAAGTATGAAGTCTTGCGAGCTGTTACCTCTTCATAATTCATAGCCCAGGCTACGGGCTGCAGAGTCACGCTCTTATGTTCGCAATCACGTTTATGTCAGGGCCTCCAACCGCAAACTTAATGCCATTCAATTGGTGCCTAGTTACGCTGAAATGCAATTGGGGTAAATTATGTTAATTAACGCACCAATCCAATTATTATGCACCGTTTGTAACTCATAAAAGTATGCGGAGAGCAAGTCGTCTGCTTCTTGCGCAGGATCTGCGGTGACGTCAGAACGACGCAGAGCTCTGATTGGCTCTGACTGAAGGATAGTGGGTGGGCCATGGTAGACCTCAATGCTAGATGCCTTGAGGTCTTCCCACCATTTTGTTTTTTATCAGCCAATAAGAGCTTGGCGTTCTGAGATCATCGCAACCCCTGTGCTAGAATCAGACGAACTTGCGTTCCGTATACTCACTGATCTACTGCTTTTACCCGGCACTGGCCAAGTTGCGCCCGTCCTGTTGTCTTTGTGCCTTTATTGGCCTTGTTTTGTTTGCGCTGTTTAACCTTTTAAATCAGTATGAACCAACTCGCCCAAACCCAAGTTTTGATCCAAATATTGAGATTCGTGTATTTTTTGGGCCCAAGATAAAGATGCTGAAATACATCTGCCTTTTGTTTAACGGGATTTCCCTGAGATCAGTGCTTACAGTCAGGGAGGTCCCGCGGGATCTCAGACTCCTCGAGGGGAGTCGATCCAACTGTCGCGCCCCTAGAGACGAAGTTAAGAACTAACCCCATGGACACTACATTAATTATTTGGCCATGCTTCTGGCGCGACGTTCGACTGTGTCAGCATTTGGATGCATGTTGATGTTATTAGTTTAAAGACAAGCTGCTTGTCAAAATATGCCCCACCAACCCCTCCCTTTCTCCCGCCCCCCCCCCCCCCCCCCCCTTTCCACCCGTTGAGGTGAGCACAACAGAAACCCCCTACCACCGGTGGGAGACTTTAATTAAGCACCGCCTGAGATACTCTGCAACAAAGTAAAAAAAAAAGTATTCCGGAATACAGATACACAAAGAAATAATGTTCCCCCCAAACAGTGGTTGGTGCAGAGGGTGCAGTTCGTGGCAAATGCAAGTGGCCAGGGCTTGTATTTCTCACTTTATGGCAGTTTATTTTATGCACCTTCCCTTACCTTACACTCTTCATCCATTAACAAATATGCCATCACGGATGCCACTAATAAAACATTGTCACCCCCAGTGACCCACTGGAGACCACGACGGCTTGCCATGCTTGAGAAAGGGCGTCTGCCCGATATGACCCTTGATTAGCCGTGACGTTGTGTTTCAACATGAGAAAAACCTTCACGGCAAAACAGCAATTTTTGCCCACGTCTGATATCATTCCACCGCGGCGCTCGGTTCGTAAGAGACGATCTACTTTTTTTTTATTATCGATTATAAGACTGGTTTTTAGAGTTGCTTACCCTCCTTGCAAGCGTCCGTTCTTAGAACCACTTTTGTTTTAGTAAAACATAAAATAGCGCAACAGAAACAAGGACAAGAAGTAAACAGGACAGGCGCTATTTCTTGTCCTTGTTTCTGTTGCGCTATTTTATGTTTTACTAAGATGAACCAACTAGCCCAACAACGTACCTCACTTTTGTTTTGTTTTAGCCATTATATTTCCTATTTTCACTTTTGGATTCCTTGCACCAAAATGGTGATATTCAGTTTATCACTTTACAACCGACAGTTAACATTCGACAACAAATGTAGCGAGATCCCAAAGCCTGGCAGAACCTATCGATACAAGCGATCCAATGCAAATATGGTTTGCGTTGTATAGCTGAAATGCAATTTTTTTTAAAAGTATTTCGATGCAGAAATAGAAACACCCGAACTACTTTTAAGATATACTATCGCGATACATTTGTATCGCGATACTGCCCAGCCTTGAGTGAGGCAGAAACTCCAGCAATACTGCCCCTAGAACTACATTGAAACTTTTCATAAAGGTGCCTTTAGGTAAATCTTTAACGAAAAAAAAAATTAACTAAACAAAAGTTTATTTTCCTTTGCACAGAAAGAAACACGGTAAAAACCGCCTTGGTCACGCTGCTAGTAACAAATTGCGGCCGGCACATATGCTTGAATCTATCGGATCTGCTCTAAAATAAGTTTTCACTTTTCTTTTTTTAATTCATGTTATGCCATTTGTTTTCTATTTTGTCTATTCCTTCTGTTTAAAAGAAAAACAAGTACTTTTGGGCTTAACTTTTTTTTCCCTTGAACTTTCACCCATAAGTTTTGAATATGATAAATGCACCACCTAAGAACACCTTCGTGGAAAGTTTCATTACACTTAGTTCATCCGTCTATTCATACGATTTTCGTTTGCGCCCAAACAGCGTTCTGAAACACCCTGGATAAGGTGTTAGCCAAGGGGACACAAATCTCTTTCTCGGGTCGTTGCGGGGTCGTTGCGTGAGACGTCCAGACGTCCGTGAGACGTCTGCGCGACATCCTGCCGCCTGGAATGGGCAGCGTATACGCACCTTACGATGAGCAGTGAATCGACGGGCATGGCGGCTGGACCCAAGGCGTACCTGCAGGCTGCAAAAGACTACGGCGAGTCAGGCGGGGCACACAACAATACAGTACAATACAATACAATAAGCTTTATTTTTCCAGAAGTACTGAAGGGGACCCCAGACAAAAAGCTGCTAAAAGCAGCTTGACTGGGTCTGGGTTTCAAACGGCAGCATCAACAAACGTATAAAACACGTAATCAGGAAGGTAAGAAAAATAAAAACAAAATCTGTATAACACTGAAGTAGCAGAAAACCAAAATTAGTTATCGATAGGTAAAACACGTAGGTCTTTTTTGGCCAAATGTGTACATTTTTATGTTGTTCGTGAAACATGTATTTACCACGTACGGCCCTTTGTACTGCAATGACTGTCAATCAATCAATCAATCAATCAGTTTATTTTTTCTTTCAAGGGGTACACACTCCTCGAAATGGTACCTTGGTGCAAAAGGCGATCGTGTCGCCTGACTGGGCACCAAGGTCCAATGGGGGGGAAGGGGGGCAAAATCCAGCAGCAACAGCAATTAAGGTAAAACTTCGACAAGAGAAAAAAAATACTTATACAAGATATAACGGATACACACATACATACACTCAAGAGAAAATGGATGCATACATAAAATTGTAAAGAATGAATACTAGCACACATTGATGTTGTTTAACATTGTCATAAAAACAAAGATTAAAAAGTAATACAAGACATCAAGCAAAAACGAAATAAATAAAAGTGAGAAAAGCACTTCGGTATAAACCATAAAAGTGAAGAAGCTAGAATACATTCCTAAATTCCCGGCACATATAAAAATAGCAATCTGGCATTGTCCACACAATAAAATTAAAATATAAACGTGATCACAAGGTATACAAGATTTTTAATAAAAGCGGATGCACAAAAAATGCGGGTTAAAATTTAAAAAAAAATGTATTTCAACATATCTATAGAATTATCAATTCAGTGGCAATCAAAAAGGAGCGTAGACTTTTTTTAAATGTAGTTCGGTTTGTAGTAATTATGAAATTATTACCAACAGCATTTAGAAGCTGGGAAACCTGAAAATTGATCATTTGTTTTCCGTAGTTAGTCCTAATAGATGGTAGTCTGTATGTCCTTGTTGTCCTTAAGTTATATTCAGACAAATTTGCAGGAATGAGGTCAAAGCCGCTTATTCCGTTTCTATGAATAAGCTGCCCAAGCTTATAATGGTAAAGTTTAGAAAGTGGAAGGATATTTAATCTGTCAAATAGGCTTTCGGCTTCACTATAGTGATTCGAGTTGGTCATTATTCTTAACATACGTTTTTGTAAACTTGCAAGTCCATTATAATTTGTTTTAACCGTGGTGCCCCAAACTAGTAAGCAGTAGTAAAGTTTTTGATAAAAGAGGGTGTAGTATATCTGTACCTTCAACCATGTCGGTAGGAGGTCTTTTGTCTTATAAATTATTCCTATTGTTCTAGAGAGGTCACTTTTTATATGCTCAGTTTGCGTTGTCCAGGATAGTTTGTCATTAAACCATACCCCTAAGAATTTGCAATCAGTTATACGGTCTATAATGCAATTGTTTATTGTCAAACATGGCAGTTTATTGATCTTTTTATTTTTTGGCGTAAATAACATATACTTTGTTTATGAAGCATTTAATTGCATTTTATTTATGTCGAGCCACCTGTTTAAATCGCATAGGTAGTTATTAGCTTCTTGTTCTATTTCATCTACGGAAGTACCAGAAAAAAAGAGACTAGTATCATCAGCATACATGACTAAGTTTGGAGAAACCGAGATGTTTACAATGTCGTCTAAATAGATTATAAAAAGCAGAGGTCCTAATACTGATCCCTGAGGGACCCCTTATTTAACAGTAGGTTGTAATTTGTGCGGCTCCGAGGAATGAGCCAAGTGTCTACACGGCGTGTGTTTATGTTACTTTGCTTCTCAAGTTCAGAAATAAAATATATATATATATAAAAAAAAAAAGTCAGCCTTTCCACTCTGGGGTAAAAGGAAGAGCAGCGGAGCTGTACTATGTGCCGCCATCTATGAGCGACGGCGGCAACCAGAAAACCGCAAGCCGATTGTCTGGTTTCCGCCGTCGCTCATAGATGGCGGTAGCTGTCCAGAGGGTTATGTCGAGATTCATTTGCCCACGGACACGAAACTGGGAAAACTAGCCCTAACCAGCTCCGCTGTAAAAATTATGAACGCTGGTGATGAGAAACGAAGGGTACAGAGTAAACGATAATTGTATACGCATTCTAGGGGAAGTATTTGACACCAAGAAAATAGTGGCTCTTTACGGTCCGCAAAAAGACACCCGCAATATAACGTAAAACTTTTCTGGCAATAGTAGATTTTGAAGGTTTGTCTTAGTTGTGGTAGCTGATACAACATGACAATAGTTTAGATTTGACTCAAATAGTAAAATTTTAACCTAATAGGGTCTGGTACAACATTGCGACCGCGGGCAATAATGCCAACACCTCCAGAATCCCACGCGGAGCTGTTGAAGGCACGGATGCAGGCATGGAACTCTATAGAAAATGCTCTCCTTGCCCAAGTTCAACCGGTGAATCAAGCAGAAAGCAGTTGACGGTCTCGCGGTTCTCTAATACTCTACGATAAAAAAACAACAACACTGAAGCGTTTACTTTCCCGCAAATCACTCGGTAGGCCGAGTCAATCACCGCGATCTACGGTGGGAAATCGGCGAATGGGCGCTTTTACAAAAGCCCCCACAATCGCCTGCCCGACATTGCTTGATCACGTGCTTTGACGTGATTGGACGCGAGGGTCGCGTCAGCGTTCGGGCGTGAACTCGGCTCAACTGGCATTGGATACGAGCGTGACGTCAGCGTTCGGAGATGACTCGGATCCAATCACACGCTACGTGTCCCAACCAACGGCGAACGTCATTGTTGCTCCATGGACTTTTGAAAAGTGTCTATTGCGAGGCTAAAATTGTAATGGGACTGAAAACGAACTACATTGTTGTGACACTGAGCATGCGCATTGTGACGGTTTTTCTATGTCTTATCTCAAATTCAACCTTACCATCTGCCAATGTCCCAGCGTAATAGAACAAACAATACGGTTTTGTATTATCCCCCCCCCCTCCCTTTCTCAAAAACAAACAAACAAACAAAAACTACGGATCGCGGGACGCTCCACCCAAATGTAGCCCTCGCGGTCCGAAAAATATTTCAAGAGTTTCAGACCCAACCCTTCATTTATTCGAAAGTTATTCGTATTTTTTGTGAAATGTTCAATGGGAAAATGACGGCCGACGGAGCTGAATCTGAATGGCGTCATTTGTCGAAAACGCACGAAAATTACTTCACTTTCCCTTTAGAATTTTTATAAAATGAACTTTAAATTTTACCGAAATAACGGATAGTTATGAAACTTTAGCATCCGGTTCGAACCGCTAGCGCTACATTTGGGCGCAAAAAGGAGCGTTCGGCAATGCGTAATTTATTTTTGAAAAAAACACAAAAAAAAACACAAAAAAAAAAAATCATTTTTTTGGGGGGGGGGGGGGGATGACACGATGAGGTGCAGAGAAGGCGTATCTCGCGGCTTACACACTTCTAAATACAGACATCAGGGAGTATGTATTAAGAAGTATGTAAACCGGAAAATCTATAGAGTTAAAGAGAAGAGGAACACAAGATGTCAAGGTACTCATTCCGGTGGAGATTTTACGCCGGGTCCACCGTTCATGTGCTGAACGTTCCTGATAAATAATTTGCAGCTGCCGAATAGACACTATTACTATTCTAAAGATTGCCATGGCTTACCAAATTGCTGCTAAGGTGAGCTGAACGAGCTGAGAAGGTTAGACACTTTTTCGTCTTCTACTTTCATTGACAGGGCAGCAGCGGAAACAAGCGCGAGCTGCTCGCGCCCAAAATAAGTCGTTCATACGTTTATACTGTGTTTCACCTTGTGTTGTACCACAGGAAAGGCTACAAGCGCGAGCTCCTTGCTCTGGGGCAGATCTCGGCGGCACAAGCTCTCGTGCAGTAAGGGCAGCTGTCAACGCTATGAGCTCGCGCTTCCAGCCTTCGCTGCGGTACAACATAAGGTGAAACGGAGTATAGACAGCGCAAGTAGTTTATAGACGCTTTCAGCGCGCGCATGATTGTGCCGCCATAGCTGCCCTTCTCTCGTCTTGCCGAAATGCCGAGCCACTGAAGCGGACATTGGCGAGTCTCCAGAGGGGCCTATTCTCGGTAAAAGGACGCAGTAGCATATAAAGTGGCAATAACCTGTCCTGCTGTGGTAATGATGAAGTGAAGCGAACGGAATAAGAGGGAACAAAAACTGACGGTCGGTTATGGCGGCGCCCATGCACAGCTGCCTGAAAGCGTCTATACTGCTTTCACTGTAAGGAGTAGGGTGCCTCAATGTCCCATGAAGGCACCCTAGTAAGGAGTATTCACTGGCGGCCATAGCTGTGTGCGCGAATGCTGAGCGCGTGCTGATGGCGAGCTTCCACAGTTCTTTTGCAGCGTGCATTCCGCACCATCAAGAGTGCCGGTCTTAGCAGCCTATTGATGTGAGCTCGTTCTGAGCATGCGCTGTAAGCAGCACCCACAAATATGGCGTCCAGCGAATACTCCCTGTACTCCGTTTCACCTTATGTTGTACCGCAGCGAAGGCTAGCAGCGCGAGATCATAGCGTTGGCAGCTGCCCTTGATACACGAGAGCTTGTGCCGCCGAGGTGTGCCATAGAGCAAGGAGCTCTCGATTGTAGCCTTTCCTGCGGTACAACACAAGGTGAAAGAGAGTATAGGAGGATCGGTGGCCGAGCGGTCTAGCGCACACCGACTCGGAGCACGTGGAGCGAAAGCTCGCGCTGCAGAACCCAGCGATTCTGGGCTCAATCCCCGCCCTTGCCCGTTTCGATCTGGGTAAGCGTCGTACCCTCGTGCGGTCGTGTATCACTACAGCGTGGTGCACGTTAAAGACACCAGGCTAGCGGTTGTACGGCGCTGGCTAAATTACTCAGCTAGAGCTGAGACACCAGACGCCCACTAAGGCAGACTAACTTGCCGGCTGTATGAACATACATAACCAATTTAATATTAAACTGAGATTGCAGCCAATGCCACAAGCACGAGAGCTCGAGGTCGTTGTTGAAGCTTTCTTCCGGAGAACTAGCACTCCCGCTAAAAATGCACGTCTCAAAGCCAGGAGCGTGGGCTAGCTCGCGCTTGTACACTTTGAGAAAAGAAGGGCGTATTCTTACACCCTTTGTCCCATAGAATACACCCCAAATTTTCAGTTCGACGTACAACGGTACCAACTTTCACGAGAGGCTTGATAGCCGTGTGGTACAGCTTATTAAAATAGCCAATGTTCATGTTATTGACTACAAAAAAGAAAACAAATATCAAACTTTTTTTTGCCTTACTGCCAAGCCTTGGTGTTTTTTTTCTGTGGTCTTTGGTATACGTAAGTCCTTTTAGCTATTTTATAAGTTATATCGCACCGTTATCAAACCCCTCGTAAAATTTGGGGCCGTCTGTTCAACTATTGTGCGCTGTACGTCGAAATCAAGTTTTGGGCTGCATTATATGGGACAAAAGGGTGTAAGGTGGCACCTTTTTTTTTTCTGGCTGTATAGTCTCAGCGTAACGTTGGTCTCAGCTTAAGATGCAACCCCACCCTTGGTTAGTGTGATTCTGAACCAATAGATGGCGGTGGGATCGCCATCCAGGCTTGTACATCAATGCGAGAAATCGTGCATGGTGGCGCTTCAATACAGTGGGATATTTTTCTATCTTCTAAATTTGACATCCCTGGTCCTTCGCTTGTTTTATGCTGCACGAGCTTTCTTTGGAACGCGCACGGCTGCGCTAGTTCTCGTGCAAGGGGGCCAGTGACCTATAAAGTCACTGGATCCTGGGAAAATAACGCCAAGCTCCGCGTGTGGTCGCCATCTTGGTCCATGAAATGAGCAATTTCTCCTTGACCCCTCCCTTCTTGGTGAGCCTATCTAGATTCGCTGGTGACGGGTAGCTTTATTGAGTCGTTTTTTGTACACCGAGATTTTGCTAACCACACACCGGCGAAACAGGCGCACACGTTCGTACCACCACCAGATGCTGTGTCGGTGCTTGGGGGCACTGAGAAATACGTTTACTATCTTGAAATGCGCAAGAAGAACAATATAATTGTAAGAGATCTATGGAGATGGGCCTGATTATTAAGTTGATCGGATACGAAGTGCCAGAGACTCTTATATTGAAGAGGAACGTTTCCAGTACGATGATGCTCCATGGTGATCTTGGCGCGACTGGTTTAGAACGACCCCCTGGAAGCTTCGAAGATTTAAATGGACCAAGATGGCGATTTCCGTGGCAACTAGGCCGATTAGCCAATCGCCTTGCGAGGTTTGGGTCGTCTGTTAGCATTCGTTTGTGTCCGGCTAGCAGGTAGGGAAGGCAATGGCGCTACTTTCTTTAGTTCCCTACGCTCCGAGCTCACGTCTCCAGCAAATGTGGTCAGAACAAAACGCGAAAATCGTCCTGAGCCAAATGGCGAAATACATGCACAACAAACAACCGTCGCGTTGAAAAATATAAAATTGCCTGTGCGCCGTTAGCACCCCGCGGAGATTTCGGAGGACAATTAGACATACTTCAATGGGACCAGATTTCTATGTCGGCCCGGCCCTTTTGTCGTTCATGTGTTTGGCTCTTTGTGGAATTTCCCGGAAAACATGATGACGTGATAGACTCGGGTTTCCGAAATTCTGGCTTGAGGAATTAAATATCTCGAAAATCAAAACAAGTGAACTATTTTCTGACCGGACACGTATCTTATTTAGGTAGCTGGGTGTTTATTTTGACCAAAACCACAAGAGTGAAAACGCACAAAAAAAAAAAGACACTCAGATTTAGGCAGGATTTAGATATGGAGGTTGGTCAACCCAAAGTATGACTGGTGCGGGAGTTATAATAAAAAACAATGACAAGGTTAAAAATTAACTTGCAGTAATAAATAATACGAATTAATTTTAATACGAGTTCAGTGATAAATTCAATAACTGGCCAGGCAATGATTCTGGGTATGTGGATAGCTTTTCCACAGAGTTTAAGCAATCTACCACTCTTTATTTGGCGATTTATGAGCGCAAGTATTGGTGTCCAAAAATGAAAAATATGCAAACGGGTAGAGTTTGACGTTGTATAAAATATATAGTGTAAGCATGCACATGGTACGCTGATTAAGGCTGAAACGGCGCTACATTTTACACTAGCGTTGAGCGTATCGAAAGTTAAGGCATAATTACGAACCAGCGCACAGGTAGACAGTTACTCAAAATCTGTTCGGTTTCTTAGCCTATCGCGCTACGACTTTGTGCAGCGTTGCCCACAGATGGTGCATTTTTTTTTTTTTGTAAAATTTGCGAAGAGCGAACTTACCTGAGGAAAAAGTAAAGAAAGAAAAAGGCTTAGCTCCTATGGAAATGCAGCGACGCCACCAGTTTTCAAACAACACGGCGCCGTTTCGCACGGGAGGCAAGAGATGGCGCAACAAACGCCGCCAACGAACGAGCATACGGCGCCGAGAGCAGGCCTTTTTAGCAGACGATCTTTTCGACTCAAAAGCGGAGTGCGTTCCGCGGGCGGCGAGAGTCCCAGAAACAAAAACAGGCGCGGTAACAACAAGGAACTGCAGTTCCTTGTCTGCTAAAGGGCCGGCTCTCGGTGCCGTATGCTCGCTCGTTGGCGGCGTTCGTTGCGCCATCTCTTATGTCCCGTGCGAAACGGCGCCGTTTTGTTTGAAGACCGATGGCGTCGCTGCATTTCCATAGGAGCTAAGCCTTTTTCTTTCTTTACTTTTTCCTCAGGTAAGTTCGCTCTTTGCAAATTTTACAAGAAAAAAACAACAATGCACCATCTGTGGGCAACGCTGCACACAGTCGTAGCGTGATAGGTTAAGAAACCGAATTTTCCGGTCGATTTAAAGAGCCTGCCGTCTCCTTGTTTCACCCTCTATATATATATATATAACTCGAGAAATATCTTTTTCAATATTAGCGACTGTGGTCTATTAAAGGCTGAATAATTAACAAACAACTAAAGATAATCGTAATATCGAAACATTAAAATATCGTTGAAAAACAGCTCTTTAGTTTGACATTAAAGGGGTCATGAAACGAATATTGGGCTAGGATGAAGGATTTTAAATTGGGACTTTACTAATCGCATATCGTTTAGTTGGCCAAAAGAAAGAGGGTAGAAAGTCAAAAGCCAGCTTTTCGGTTCGAACATTTGAAAATATAGCGGACTATTTTGTACCTTCTTGCCTTCAAAAGCTCTCCGCCTTTTCACTATGATACATCCGCGATTCCAAAAGCGCGTCACCGGCGCCAAACTGACGTCAGCAGAGCCCAGCTCACGCATTGGACACGAGAACTGCGTCACTCGGACGTATGCGCTCGTCAACAATCAATCCGTCGACGAATATTCGGATTGGCGTTCGTGGCCAATGAGAGCCCTGACGGAACTTATCGTCACTGGGGAATGACAAGTTCTATGGTGTGCATAAAAAGCACGCTGGAAGCTAGGAGTCATCGCACCGGTGCCGATGAATATCACGGCGACGGGACTTCACAATTTGCATTTGAGCTGAGGATTAAAGCTAAGTAGGAAGAAGTAGGAAAACGTTTCATGGACCCCTTTAACTTTATAATCGTAGGATGCACAGAAAGAAAGTTATAAACCGTCAAAAAACACCAAAACGTCATGCACGGTGGGGTTGCACCATAATTAAAGAGCTTGATGAGAGCCTGAGCTTGAGTGTCGAACGAGGGAGATTTAAAGGTAGTAGGGAGAAGGTTGTCTTTATTTTTGGTTGGTCTGGCGGATCGGGGGAGGAAAGAGAAGCACTTGTCGGTGCTGCAATCGCGGCTTGCTGTGTTTGTCTCGCCAATGCCTTCCTCTTGTGACCTGAGTTGAGGTTTGTAGAAGGGTATGCACTTGGGATAGTTGGTGATCCATTTTTGTGAAGGTAAAAGCGCTAAGAACAACGGACAAGTAAAAGAACCAAGCAACACAGAGCGCGACTTGCAACTGAAGTTTATTCCCAGAAAACACACATATACACCGTGATATCGCGACATGTACCACAGAAATGCGACATCACCCAATCAGTGTTCGCCTGTCCGCTATCTACTTTACTAAAGATTTTAAAAACGTCACCTCAGAGCCAAACAGGGGTTTAGATGGAGCGCTAACACACGTTCCTTCAACGCACTCGGAAATGAAAAAAAGCTTCGGATATCTCCCTTGTCATTTTGTTCCGGCTTCGGGCCAGGATAATGGTGTTGTCAAACTTCGGGACACACCCACATCTGTCACAGTGCACAGCCAGATTTCCTGAGGGTGACGATCGAACTGACAGTGCATGCTCCGTGAGCCTATCATTTATACAACGTCCCGATTGGCCTATGTATACTTTGCCACATGATAAATGAATCTTGTAAACCACGCCCTCGCTACAATCAACCTACCTGATCTTATGTTTCTTCTGACAGACACCGACGCGTGTTTCCTCTCGTCCCACTTTTCCACACAATCTGCTCAGTTTTTGAGGAGCTGAGAGTAATACCCAACAACTGGTCGCGCAACCAATGCGACTTTGAAAAGGGGCATCCGTGGCGTCCACGCAAACGTCGTATTTTTCTTTCCGTCCACTTTCTTTTTTTTTTTTGTGTAACACAAATATATATATATGCTGCAATTAAGTGTTCTACTCGCTGATCTATAGCCTCCTTCCGAATTCTCTCGATTTCTCGTGCCGACTTCCGCCGCTTGGCATCGGGCGCTCGCGCGAGCGCAGAACGCTTCTCGGAAAAGGTCCATTGTGGTTCCGGCCGCCGGCCGCCTCAGAGTTGCTAACATTCCTCATATAGACGAGGCCACCCGTCGAACCAAACTTATTGCCCAGTAAAGCCCCTAGACACGAGCTTCCTACAAGTAGCGACATGCTTCGGAGCGCCGACTGCGTGACGGTGCGGGTCTTAGGAATCTAGTGACGGCGCACAGCGGAAGACTAAACTGAACGTCGCCATTTTGTTTCAGTGGAAGGTGCTTTGTCATTTGTATTGGTTGTCGTTACTGAAGTCCCTAGATAAGAGCTTCCTACAAGTGGCGACATTCTTCGAAGCGCCGACTGCGTGACGGTGCAGGTTTTAGGAAGCGAATGGCGGCGCACAGCAGAGGTTCGAACTGAATGCCGCCATTTTGTTCCAGCGGAATGTGCTTTGTCATATGTATTGCTTGTCGTTACTTGTAAAAGAAGTATCAAGGGACTTTAGTCGTTACTCGTAAAAAGAAGTATCAATGTGCTTTAGGTATAGGCCTTTGCATCGCTTATCACCCGGGAGAAAAACGCTGAGTCACTGAGCTGTGGATGCATGCGCAGCGTCTGATATCCCGCACAGCAGAGGAACAGCGCATCAAGCAAAGGTGGCAGCGCGCAGAAAGACGATTTTTGCAAAGGTAGCAAACTCCGAAGATAGCACCTGCCAACTCTTCATTGAATACCACATTCAGCACAACGTCACTAACTGAGGATCCTCTTCACTTCCTTAAAGAAAGCCTTACTACTTGTAAACTTCGAAGATACATTTTTTTAAAGATTTAATTGATTACAAAAAAGATAGGCGTAACTGGAGAAAAATGCCGTCTGGACAAACGAAAACAATTATTAGACACCTCGCTATACTTCGTTTCACGTTAAGTTCGACCGCAGCCTACGCTACGCGGAGCGCAAGCTCGTCTGCTTCTTTTGCCAGGGGCTGGTAGACGTCAGAATGGCGAGCTCTGATTAGCTCTCATTGAAGAACAGTGGGCAGACTTCAAGGCAGCTTGCTTTGAGGTCTACCCGCCATCCTTCAATCAGAGCGAATCAGAGCTCGGCGTTCTGACGTCACCACAACACTGCAAAAGAAGCAGACGAACTTGCGTTCCGCATACGACCCGATGGAGCCAATCAAGCAGCGTCAAAAGTGCATAGTCACGGTGCTCGTCGTCTTCATAAGTTTGTTAAATCGTCGGCGAAACCAATCACGCAGGAAACAAAAGCATACGATCAAGGCTTATTCACTGCGCGTGATCGGTTTACTCGGCGATAGTAAACCCATAAAGAGGACGAGCACCTTGACGATTCATTTTTTGGCGTTGATTGGCTCCATCGGATCGAAGCATCGGCTGCAATCGGACTCAAAGTGAAACGGAGTATAGACGTTTGCAAGTACGGCCCCCATGGGCGCCGCCATCTTCCTGCCGGTGTGGGTATATCGTCTGATATTTAGTCCAGCATTGCTGAGGCGTACTTGCGGCCTCGGCTATGCTTGACTGTTAGACGATCTATTCACACCAGCAGCAAGATGGCGCCGCCCAGATGCCACAGACTTGAAAACGTCTCTTTCCTTGGTCTCGATCACAATAACGTCCACGATGTCACTCCCTGTGTTCCTTCGAAGACAGTTCCGGTTCCCACGAGCGTGTAGAGACCTATGGCCAAGACGGTATAGCCACCAGGAACGCTCCCAGAAGACCCAGCAAGAGCGGAACGTAAGACGTCTTTTTCTTCTCGGACATGGACACCGTATCGGGAGTCTCGTCTGAGGTCTCCTGACCCGGTGGCGGGACGGCCGTCTTGCCTTCCGGCGGGTGAGGTCTGGGTTTCCACGTGAGATGCGGAGGACGAACCGTCGGCGGGGCCGGCTTTGGCGACTTGATATTCGTCACCGGGACGATGTTGGACACCGAGGAAGCGCGACCCTTGTCATTCAGCGTGCGCATGCCGAGATAAATGCTGTTCGGCCTGCCTTGGGCCCGTGAGACCAACTCTTCAGGAAGCTTGACCTTCACCTTCTGTGGCCTTGCGCCGCGCGACATGCGTGTGGGGAGAGAGATGGTTCATATATCTACACATGCCTTGAATTGGCAGCCATTGCGGCCTTGCTGCTGAGGGTGCACTACCGTGGACACAGCTGGTTATTGGCCACAAGATGTCTCGGTGGTTCCCTTTATCTGACGTCACGACGAGGATTGTTAATTGCCAACGACATTTTCGATGGTGATTAAAAAGCACGGTGCAAGCTCGCAGTCATCGCGTCCTTGAACAGTCAAAGTTTACAGTCTAACGTTTTTCTTACTTCCGTTGGTGAAGGCAGAAATAATCCCACTCAGCACTATTCGTGCATAGTGAACGTGTGGCGGTCAATCGTGGAAGGCCTACCACAGCGTTGTTTTTGGTTGTGCTCGTCGCCATTAGCATTGGCAAGTGCATGGCGTCGTCTGCTACGCGCCCATCAGATGGGGTAGTTGTCGAAAACGGGAGGCGCATTTGATCACCAAGAGGACTACGGCGAGTAACTTTAGAAAAATGAGTCTTTTGCGCATCAGTCTGCAAAGATGGCCAAGCCAATCAAGGGGCAGCAAAGAGGACATGTAGCGAACACTCGACGACGAGGCAGCCAATCTCGAGTCATCATTGGTTGAGGTCGGGGGGAAACAAACGCACGTGATGCTCGAGGAGCAGACAGACTTGCACGACGTATTGCCCAGTGTGATTCCTCTTTCGGGGCCCTATACTACTGGGCGGGACAAAAGCGGGACCGGGACATGGCCGTCTGCTGCCATTGGTGAGTGGCAGTAGGCCAGCTCCGCTGATAGCACATGAAAAGCCACCGCTCGAGCGCCATAGCCAGCTGTGTTCACGATAGTACCTTCTGCAGCATGAATGTTTTGTTTGTTTGTTTGTTTGTTTGTTTGTTTGTCTTCTTGACAAGAACGAATGACCACCAGCATAGTGCCACGACATCACGTGCTAGTAACGTACTATTCGTATCTCCGAGAGAAGAGAACGCGATCTAGCGGGAAAGACGCGAAATAAAGGTACGGGGAGCTACCGCCTATTCAAGCGAAAACGCGAAACGAGGGAACACGGACTCCCAACAACGGAACACTGTTGCTGGAGCGGCTAATACTCCAACTCACTATTTGTGAAAAGTTATCGTTTACAGCAAGTGGGCACCGCACACGCGCAGAAGCACGCGTTCTTTCGAAAATCGAGGCATCTGCGCATGCCCGCGGTTTTCCTGCCACCATCGCCACCTCCGCATGACGTGAGAAATGCGAGTGGAGATCAGAGTACGCGGAAGAGGCAGATTCTTTACCGTGCTATTCTATGCAATGTATCAATAGAAATGTAAAAGTACGAAGACGCCGTTGTACAAATGACCACGCTTGCCGCCTTTAGACGAATTGGGAAAACTCATGGCGACACTCTAATCACTTTTTTTTTCTATTCGTGTCTCTGTCGGGCGTTACAGGGCGCAATGAAAAATACCGAGCTACGAGAAAAAGATAGCCAAAAAAATATGCAATCATTAAAGGGACGATGCAGCAATTTTTGTACTTTCAGTAAATACCGCTTACTACCATTCCTTGACGTATTTATAACTTACAATACACGCGTTTTTACAGCGGAGCTGTTAAGGGATAGCTTCTTCAGTATCGTGTCCGTCAGTAAACAAATGATGACACGAAACTCTGGACTGCTACCGCCATTTATGAGCGACGACGGCAACCAGACAAACGGCTTGACGGTTGTCTCGTTGCCACTATCGTTCATAGATGGTGCAACCTTTTCAGCCTTTCCAGTCTGACTTGCCGACGTGCGGCCGGCCATTACTTCATTCCCACCAGAATACAGCTTCGCTGGTCTGCTTCACCAAATTAGAAAGGCCGAAAAGTTTTTTTTTTTTTTGTTTTTTTGTTTTTCTTTTCACGCAATGGCAGTTGCAGGAAAATTCAGAGAAAAACAAACAGCGTTTACCCCCTCAATTTGCAGCCAGGACAAGCGGTCACGTGGCGTGGAGCCGATTAAACGCCGCCAATGAACGTGCCACGCGCTTGGGATGGCCAAGCACAGGGCGCGCTCTAAGTTCCACGCATTGTTATAATTTACAATTGAAAACGAGCGTGTTGGTTAAGCGGTATTCACACGAGGGAGAAATCCCGGGGATTTCTCCCCGGCACGCGCGCATCACGAGATGAAAACGCGAGGCTTTTGCACATCGCAAAGCCTGGCGTTTTCGTCGTGGGATGCGCGTGCCGGGGAGAAATCCCCGGGATTTCTCCCTCGTGTGAATACCCCTTTAATAGATACAAAACTTGAAAGTATAAAACAGAGAGGACGAGGACGGGAACAGGACATCTTTCAACGAAAAGATGTCCTGTTCCCGTCCTCGTCCTCTCTGTTGTATTCTTTCAAGTTTTTTACATTGTTATAATGTTCGGCCATTCCCGTCGTCGCCGCGATTGGGCACGAATCACCATACCCGATTACACGTCGACGCATCGATTGTCACGAGCCCAAATCGAATGCCCTCGCAGCGCTCGTGATCATTGCATATGAGCCGTGTTTAGATATTGCCACAGCGGGGATTGCAAAAAGCTTGATGACGAAGTTCCCGAGGACCGCATTAGCGTTGTCACCGCAACTTTCTCATCAAGTTTTGCGAAGGGGAGACTAGAAGATACAGACCGGTTTTATCCTTCGAATTGCACGGCGATGAAGACACTTCATCGTCAGTGGTGTTACGGCAGGGATCGCAGCGGCGGGGTGAGTTGTCACGAAGCCGACATGGAGGGGGCCGGACAGCAAGTAACGAAGTGGGAAGGGTGGAGGGCAGGCGAGTAAAAGGCTTAAAGGAAGTGAAGGCGTTATCTGCCCAAGTATAAGGATACCGGGCAGTGCCAGTTGGAAGTGCTCCTGGTTGGAGGTCAAAACTGTCGTGTGGTCCTTGAGTCTATGCTGTGAGGATGCGGCAAAGGGAGAGGGGGGTGCTTTTCTGGTGTGTGCGGGGGCCGCATGAAACTGCCTTGCGGGCCGCGGGTTTTTGACCCATGCGTTACGGTTAGAGCATTCTCGGGTCCCGCTAGTGCCAGTAAGCTTGTGTAATATCAGGAAGATTCCTACCCAATATCATTGCACGGCCCCTTCAAGCAACAGTGAGCGAGCAGCTAGCAAAAGTAGTCAAAATTGAATGGCGCGGTCAGTGACTGACGCAATTGTCTGCAGTTCTCATGTCGGGCCCCACGTTGAACACCAATACGGCACTCAAGATCGAACTAATTACCACCTCGTGTCACACCCCTTGCTCGCCCTCGAGCCTCCCTTATTCTCTCGCTCTGTTCCCCACTATATGTAGGCGGGGAGATGCCAGACATTAGAAGGCCCACAATATGTCGGGGGGATGCTATTCGTGTGAAGCTCGAAAGTTTTTATATTCGCGGTGAGAAGTTCGCGAGGGTGCGCTTCTGTTTTTCTCACATATGGATAGTGCACGTGCTACCCACGCGGTTATGTTTTAAATTTCATACTGCACAGAACATTGGCCATTGCACGTGCTTGCACCAGCAAAGGAAGTTGATCTTTCTTCACTCTGGGTTGTGAAAAAAATTTCACCAGGCGGCTATTCGCGACTCCAGCAAAACGAACGGCACCTAGCGGGAAAACACTGAACTGGTCGGAACAGGTCCTTTCGCGATTTCTGCTCGTCTCTTCTGGCATCCGTGTTTAGATATTGTCGGTGGTTTGCGCGACAGAACAGTTCGACCGGTGACTGTGTCGTAACCGTAGTACTGCCTTGTGACCCAGGTTGCTCTACACGCGACCTATGCAGCCGCGTGAGCCAGACATTCTGCGTTTCTCAACGTTCATCAGCACCGTGGAAGGACAGTGGGCAGTCCTTTCCTCGTTTCCTCGAAAAAAGTCAAGCGTCTGGAAGTTGGCTTACCCCAGCACATCACCGCAGGTTCGAAACGTGGAAGATAAAACGCGTGGGAACCAATTTTGAGTCCAATGCTTACTTGCTGGTGCCCCAGCGTTGTGCGTTCAGCTGGATGATGGCACGGCAAGACCTGGATTCGACCGCCATATTTGCCCAATAGTGGCGTCCCCTATAAGTCGCTGGAGTCGCAAATACGCAAACTTCTCGCCGCCGCGAATAAGAAGAAGAGCGCGTAGATCTGTCTCAGCGAGCCGATTCCCCCGTTTCCTCACTTGTAAGGCTCCAGGGGCTCCAGCGATCCTTCTAGAACGTCCTCCTCGGAAATCGGCGTCGCGTTGTTGAACGTGAAGAGCAGGACGCGGGGGTGCGAACCCGCCCTTATATCCACGGCTTGAGCTGCAAAGGCGGCGATTTGTTCACTTCCGTGAGTTGCGTTTCAGTTCCAGCAGTATATAGACCAGGGGTGTGGCCAGGCTGACCCGGCCTAAGAGCCGCAAACAAATTCACAAAACTTCCAAGAGCCGGGGGAGGGGGGGCCAAGAGCCGCGGGGAGCAATAATCAAAACTCAAACTACTTTAAACCTATCCGAGCCAGAAGCAGTCCAACTGTACGCAATGTAGCAGTAGCACAAGACTACCAAACCGCAACCTGTCTCTCGATTTAAAACGCATTCCATTTCTCTTTTTGGGGAAGTGAGGGGGGGGGAGGGGTTGGGGAAGAGCCGCGAGCCGCACTTTTACACGCGAAGTGGCTCGCGAGCCGCAGCTTGGCCACCCCTGATATAGACGCTTTACACACGGGCCAGGTTACGGCAGCCATCGCTGACCTTCTCTCGTTTTAGCGAGATACCGAGGCACTGAAACGGTCATTGACGAGCCTCCACAGAGGCCAGTGCTGGGAAGAAAAACTCATTAGAACCTCAAATGAAAGTAACCTGGCCTGCTATGGCAGTGATGAAGTGAACTAAACCGAATATGAGGGAAAAAAACTGAAGGTTGGTTATGGCGGCTAACACGCAGAGCTGCTGCACAGCGTCTATATATCGATTAGTTTTCAGCCTTCGCATTAAACAAACGACCATGCGTGTACACCTGAGTCTACACCAATAAGAGAGTCCCTCCCGTGGCCAAGGCGGCGGATGGCCATGCTCGCGGTTATGGAAATGTAGTGTGCCTAGATATGAGAGTGTTTCCAACTGCTCAACTTGGGTCACTTGGTTCATGGGCCGCGTTTGCAATACAATATTAGTATTACCAAGCTGGCTCTGTTATTTCAGCCTCCCATGCTATAGTTACTGTATTGTCCATGTACACTTCCTGCAAACACCTCACCAATTTCATATTTAAAGCTGGTTCCTTTAGCTGTGTCCACAGAATTTCCTGATTTACGTTATCGTATACGTTCCCTGAATGTCTAAAAATGCCACCCAAAACGGTCGTTGAATTGTCCGGGCTATTTCCAAACATTTCGGGACCGCATACTAATTATCTTCTTGTATCTTATCCTTGCGAAATCCATTCCGGAGTTCTCCCAACATTTCTTCTCTAGTACGCTTTTGCTCCTTGGATGCCACTAGTCTCTTATGTAGGTTTGCTTTGGCTTCTTTATCCCACCAGCTTTTTTACCTGTGTTTGCATTTGTTCCCAAATCTGGCTTTGTTTCGTTCCAACTCCGTTTTGAATATCTTTCTACAAATTCTTTCTCTGTTCGTGCGGCTACTGTGTCCTCAATTCGTAGTGATATTTCCTTCAGTTGTGTGTCACTGAAACCTATCCTGTCTACTTGCAGCTGTGCTTCTCGTTCTTGCTGTGTCTTTCCAAAATAAACTTTAATTCGTTTACGGTCACTCCCTAAGTTTTTCATTCCTTCTTCGTCTTTTAATTTCTTCTTCAGCAACGATAGCTTCTTCACAAGCTATGGTTGCCCGAAATAAAGTGTAGAATTTGGCTAAAATTCATATATAAAGCAAAGGTTTTAGGTGTACATGTACATAGCGCTTGAAATGGTTAAGTCTAGACACATCAGACACTACAAGCTGATTGGTCCAATCAGACGCTGTTCCGTCAAGTTTCTGTTCATGTTTTATCATCGCTGAACCAATCATAAACAGAAAAGGCCCAGTGCACAACGCGTACTTCAACATTGCTTGATTTGTCCCATCAGCTCGCAGCGTAGGAACTAAAGCTGAAACAAGGTATAGAGCTCTACATATGTTTGCTTTCCGAAATTTACTTTACTTTTAAGAACATTTTTTTCTTTCGTTTTAACCCGGACATAAAAATCGACTGAGCTGCTCGTTTCGAGCCCTTCCTTTAGGTGGCGGAACAAACCAGGCAAAATGAAGTTTTCTCATCCGCAGTCACAAGCATATAAAAATCCAGTTTTCGGCAACCTTTGTTTCATAATTGTCGAGTTTTCCAGAAGACATAAAACAGACGGACAGCTTCTTCCCTTCGTGAAAGTAACTAATAAAGTTTACCTTGGCCACTGTCAAGGTAGGCACCCATAGAGGTCCAGGACAGCGTCGCCGTCATCTCTTCGTCGTTCAGTTCTGCCTCCGAGACAACCAGGTCGCGGATCGGCGCCGGTGGTAGGTCTTCTCGCATGATGTCGCTTTTAACTTGTACGGACCCGGCGTAAGAAACCAGGCTTAGTTCTTCGTTTACACGCTCTTCCTAAAAGTGAACGACAAACCCGGAAAGTAAGAAGGTATAGCTTTAGGAGACAGACGGTCGACAAGAGTATACTTTCACACCGTCAAGTTGCTCGCAGTCAAGTTACTTTTAATTATTAACAGCGATGATAAAACATTTCGTATGACGAAAAGGCGTCACAGCCTTTGCCGTGACATCCTTACGTCCCTTGACATCGTGACGTTACGTGACTTTGTGATGTCACTGTGTGACGGGCTCACGCCGCGAAGACGGACGTCCTACATAACTTCGAGTGGGGGGAAGAGCCCTTAACAGATCTCGCTGTGAAATGCGTTAGTTTTTTCCCACCAAAATTGCACGACCCGTAGTAACCCTGCCCACCCCTTCTCACCGACTGACCTGAGTGCAAGAAACCAGGCTGCAAGTGAATCAGCAACAGCATTCGCGTAAGCGTTTGTGAGAACACATAACCCACTGTAATGATGATGTTCTTCCTGTGAGATTGCGCCGGGACCCGACGACCGAGGCAGCCGATGGTCGCTGCCCGAAAAGGAAAACAGCCGGGACTCCGCGGATAGGAGAAAGGAGAAGACGTCTATTTACAAATCAAGCTGTCCTCCCGAATCCCTCTAAAAAATCCCCCTCACGTGCCATCCTCCTCTGTCGTCCTCGTCCAGAAATGGATCTTGCTCCAGCCCGCACGAGCGCCGTCGGTCTACTTATACACAGGGACACACGAGCAAACAAAAATACGCATGGAAAAGAAAACGAAACTCAGTCCTGTTCTTGTGTCCATTCACGGCGATGGCGGGGTCGATTCTCACACCTCCCGACTAAGTATATTTTTTAGACCCAAAATGTCAAAAATAATATATAATATCTAAACATAAAACACAAACACGTACCCGTCAGACTCGAAGAGAGTTTGTGACCCCAGTACGTAAGAAACAAAAGCAAAAAACAAAAACAAAAAAACTTTCACATCACCGATTTATATGGTACACTAGTGAGGTGAATCCAACTCTGCCCCCCCCCCCAAGGCTCCAAAGAAGTGACAAATCTTGTGTTGCGCAACACCTAGCGCAACATCTAGCCTCCTAGTCTAGGTCTCTTCGCGGACAGCTTACTAAGCCATCCAGATCTCGACAGGGCTTCCATCGGTATAGCTGGTTCCGGAACATCTCCGCGCAAAAGCGCCGACACTTTACACTCTGTCCCGACTTACGAATCAGGAATGGGCCTCGCAGGCGGTCGTCGTTGTCTAGGTCTTCTGCACTCGCAGGTCTCTCACACGTGGAGGGCTGGCAGGTGGTTGAGTGTTCATCGGCTTCCCTAGCTATATCCTGGGACGACTTCACCTCAAGACGGCGTCCTCGTCGCTGCTCCCGCTTTCCCCGACATCTTCACCGGCCCGCTGTGACGTACGCCGCCCTAAGAGGATGTCCGACTTCTTGTCGACACCCACGTTTTTGCTGTGGTCGTCATCAACTTTCCAGAACGTCTGCCACCCAAGCAAGATATTCGGTTCTTTCTCGTCGTCGGCGTTCACGTTCTCGTCGTGGCCATCGTCGGCCCGCCGAAACGCCTGCCGCCTAGGCGATAAGTTCGGTCCTTCGCCGTCGTTCACGTTCTCGCAGTCGTCGTCCACGGCTTGCCGGAACGTCTGCCCCCCAGGCGTTACCCACGGTTCTTCCTTGTAACCAACGCCCAAGTTTTCAGTATAATCGTCGTTGGCTTGCCGGAACTTGCAACCCAGGTAAGTTGTCGGGATCGGCCTCAACGTTGTCAAAGTTCACACATTGGTCGTCCTCAGATCACCGGGACGTCTGCCGCCCAGGCAAAGTGTACGGCCCTTCGTCGTCGACGTTCACCTGCTCGTCGTGGTCATCCTCGGCTCGCTGGGACGTACTCCACGCACGCGAGACGTTCAACTCATTTTTGTTGGCAACGCCAGCATGCACAGGCACGCAGCTGTTATTGTTCTTCGACGACCGCTTCGTGTCGTCGGCCTGTAAAATAATCTGAGGCGCCTCGTAAATTGATGGCTTAGACCTCTTCTGACCTCGGTGGTCCAAGCTGTTATCGCCGGTCGTGCCCACATCGGTCGTCACCTTGTCGGGCTCACGGCTGGAGTCCTCCTCCACCGTGACTTTCTCGGCGTCTACTCTTTTTTTCTGAAACAGAAGTTCATCGTCTGGTGTCTTCGTCCGTGGACATTTGCAGGAAAGGTGCCCCAATACCTTGCATTTAAAAAACTTCACCCAAAAATTTTCAGTTATGATGACCCGCATTGGGTTCTCGTATTTTTCCTTGAAAGAAGTGGTGGTGTCCATAAAGGGCTTCCAAAACTGAGCTTGCGGAAGTCTGAGGTCTATACAACACCCGTTCTTTGACCGCCACCATACCCACTTCTCTCACCCACGTTCAGCCTATTCACTAGTGCACGCATGCTCTCCGTAAGGTCGGAAAAAATATCCTATGAGCCCCTCAGGGACGATATACCGCTCGAATACATTCTCCACCGAGTCGAACCAGCTTGGTGCTAACGTATCGGACGACGGCATGGGAGTCAGTACTCGCTTCATCAATCTTGAAAAGCTTAAAACTTAATCTCGGAGGTTGAACTCCATGCCGCCTCCACTGGCTCGCGTTCGGTTCCCTGAGCGTAGATGTTCTCGCTCTAGCTCAAGACGTAGCAGCCGTTCTTTCTCCCTCACTAGTTCTATCTCCTTTTCGAGTGAGCTGCCTGATCAGACTCCTCCATTCCCGTCCCTTTGTGTCTGCGAGTTTGTCACTAATCTACTCGAAGGTGACGATTCACCTGGCCCGTCAACATTCCTATTCCGAACCCTATCCTGCTCTGGAGTTAGAACCGGCATCTGCCGCTCTGCGCTGTCTATATCCGTGACGGGCACACGTCAAAGAATCACCTTACCGCAAGGTCAACGACTGCCGCTGGATCACAGATGCAGCCAGCTGCTCAGAACAGTCAGGCACGAAAATAATGTTCGAGCTGTAGATTCAGGCGTTTCTCGCTGGAGTGGGGCGGCATCGGATCCGAGATAGCCCTGTCAACCACGAAGCAGCTCGGTGGTCCAGTCTTCTCTTTAGAAGACTCCACCAGTGCCGCGTCAAGTGGCTGTCCGCCGATTCCGCTGAGGAGATCACGCTGCCGGGGTCCGCTGACGCAATACTGTTGACTGCGCCAGTAATGATGATGTTCTTTGAAATTGCGCCGGGATCTTACGACGGAGGCAGCCGATGGTTGCTGATTTAGGATGCACAATACTGTACCGCGCGCGCGCTTCATATCATGGAAAGTGGCAGTGGCGCTACCTTTGCGAACATGTGTCCACGAAAACACCGTCTTCAAAGACTCCGCCGAGAGTGGAACATGCTTTCTCAACCCGCTCACTTCGTCAACTACGCTCAGTCCCAGAGTGAGCCGCGCATGCGTACTAGAAACTCCGCTTTCCCTAGAGCGGAGCGGATATAGAAAAACGGTCTACTGAAATTCTCTGATGATACACGGTCGCGGTTAAAACGCGAGCTTCCCCTAGCGGTGTGGCGGGTGCAAGACAATGCTTTTCCGCGTACCGGAAGTTTCGCGATTCAAGATGGCGGCGCACGCGAACACCTCCTATTGCATGACAAAGACGCAAGGTTTTCTACGTCACCCTAGGGTGGCCAGAGCGGGGCACAGATTGGGCCCTGCGCCAACATTAGACGGGGACTCGCGTTTCCGGTCAGTGAGCACACAAACCGAACGCCGACTCTGCACCCCCTGTCCAATCTCTGTCGGCGCTTGATTCCACTGTAACGACGTCAAAATACTAGTGCACGGGCTTTAAACACTCTCGATGGCGTTGAGCAGGGTCGCGGCGCGTTCCACAGCACTTCCCAAATCTGGCGTAACTACATAGAAATTTGAGGGAGAGAGTAATGGTTCAAGCACTCCACTTTCAGATAGGGTATAATCGAAGTAAACTGAAAGTTTGCTACGATATATAAGGTTCAGTGATCGTCTACTGTCCCCGTGCACGCTTTGGGGCCGAACCAATCGTCGGCGTCGAAGACCGACGACCAGCTCGCGCTTTCCACTTTTCCCCCTCTTCCTTCTCTCCCGATTCTACCCTGTCCACCGTTGCCTGTTTCCTCCTCCCCCATGTGGAGGACGATCTTCTGCCTTGCAGAATCTCGAGTCTGGCCGCCGGCCTTTCAATTAGCCGGAAACTCCTTAAAAATGGACACCGGATGTCGAATGAGCTCACCGTCTGCCGGGCGTGAGGAGCGGGTCCAGAGTTCGATGCCACGTGGTGACCTTTCCTCTTCTTGCACTCCGCGGATGGCCCACAAGCCATGGCATCACCTTTTCGAAACCGATCGAAACATGAACGTGTATAATGCTGTTGCATGGGTCTGGCATCGGCGAGGAGATCGAACCATAGGGGGCGCTTTGTCAGGCTAGTTTTTCCGGTGCTTACTCAACACAAGCCATGTAAACTGGGTTTTTTTGTTTTCCTCCTTCATCGAGCGCTATGCCGCAGAATGGACACCAGTGCTACATCAGTGTTCGACCGGTACTTTGGAGAGGAGCCCCAATCGAACGACGACACATCGTTCGACTACGTGAGCCGAGCGCTGCGTCAGATACATGGTCACATAGTTCACGTTGTTATCCCCACGGGTATAGTCTAAATGGAACCGCCATGGACGCGGTGGTTAGATCTCCTCCCCAATAGAAAGTTTGTTCAGACCTACAACAGCTTTTACAACTCGACAAAAGCTCGACGGTCTGCTTACGTAGCCGGAAACAAACTCGCCATATGTGAAGGGTCCATCGTCATACGCTTCGAACGATATTTTAACGGTCGTTGTTCTAAACGTAACGTTGGCACTATACACGTGCTTTAGTCCGAGCGATTCACAGCATAAAACATTTGTTTAGACCATTGACGGTTTTAGCTCCTAGTGTTATTCCACAATTCAGCACCAACCGTTCCATGTGTGCATATTAAAGCTTTGCTAACAGGCCTAACCCGAGTATACTAACACATGTACCCACGAAGAATAGAGAAGAATTAAACATTTCTCAGGGGCGTTCGAACCTGGGGCCAAAAACAATAAGAGCAAGTACGTTTCGGTCCCGGTAGAAGTATTATGACTGAGAAAGGCCTACATACCGGAATCGAAACGTTTCTAACCTATTCGCCTTTCCCTAACCCCCCCCCCCCTCCCCCCAAAAAAAAAAATTTAAATAAAAAAAAATATATACAGCTCAAGGAGCAGCGGCGGTGGTTTACCCTGTAGACGAGAAATTTAGCCAGCACAGTACAACCGCTTGCCTGGCGTCTTTAACGTGCACCACGCAGTAACGATACGAGCGCAAGCCGCTACAATAGAGAGTTTTAGTAGATCGTGTTTTCGGGTCACGCTATTTGTAGTGGGAGCTCGCGCTGCCACTCTGAAGCCTGGTTCAGACAGTTGCGTTTGACTGCGTTTGACTGCGTTGCGGCAGCGAGAAACCAGGACATCCCTGCTGCTTATATCGTTTGCCAAGATGACTCCTTGAATTGGATTCCACGCTTCATACGAAGCATAGTTGTGCCGGTGACTCGCTTTCGGTCCTCGACGCAACGCAGTCAAACGCTCTCAAACGCAAGTGTCTGAACCGGCCTTAATGCATGCTCTGAAGCGCGTGACCGTAGCGGTAGCAGGCCTTTGAAAACGATCTACTAGAACCTCCTAATAACTATCCAGATCGAAGCGGGGAGCGGTGGGGATTGATCCCAGGATTGCTGGGTTATGCAGCGCGAGCTCTCGCTCGACGCGCTCTGAGCTGTGGTGTCCTAACACACTGGCGGCCACCGATCCCCCAATTTTGAAGTAGGAAGGAAGGACCGGAAGTGATAAAGAGCGCAATCCTTCGATGTCCTTAAAGGAGCTGTGCAACAATTTCATTGCTTTGCTTAAATAATTTGGGACTTAGTGTCTCGACCTTTCTGAAGTAAGGAACAAAAAAACAGCTTTTGCCCACATGTCCTAGTTTTATTTTAAAAATCGACACAGTCTGATGTTTTCGGCACCTCTCAACTGCTTCACCATCTTCCGAGTCAAGTGCACTGTGACGTCAATGGGAGACGCCCGGGGTTCCGGTGGAGCTCCCTCTCTAGAGCCATCAGTGAGAAGCGAGAACTCACCCGCTCGTCGCCACGTGACCACGAGCTTACGCAGCGCGATCAACATGGCGAAAGGAGGAAAGTGCCAAGGTCCGGGTCCGGCCATCCCCCTCCGGCTCTGTCCCCTCTCCCCTCCGGCTTCTGGCGGCTGTTCGTGGTAGCTAATAGAGCTGACGGTCTTGTGGGCCTAGGATGTATGGTGCCACTAAAACTCCGTATAATAAAGATTTAGTCGATGATACCAGACTTTTGACGCATTTATATTTATGTTGGAACTACAAGATTTATAGAAAAATGATCCTTTATCGAGCAAGTATTTTTACAACTTGCTATCGTTTTATAAGTCCCCCATTGACGTCATGCCGCGTGGTTCTCATGGCCGCCACTCGCGGCTGCAGGTCGGGAAATATTCTAATTTTCGCCTCGCGATTATACGGCGGATTCGCAACATTTTGAAGGAAGGAGATGTGTTTTCTGTCCTTTGTGACAAGGTAAGCAATGTCAGAAGTAGAAGATGCAATTTCTTTCAACGTTAAAAGCGTTGCACAGTTCCTTTAATGGCTCGACTGGGTGGCTCTTGTGCATATACGAGTGATCTACTTTCTGGCGTTTCATTTCAGCGACGTGGTTTTGGCTTCGGGGATTTAGTAGAAACTACTCGATCCTCTGCCGTTGGGACAGACGGCTCATTGCAACAAACTTGACGTCTGTTTTCGGCGAAAAAACAAACAAACAAAAAAAAAAAAAAAAACAGCATTTTTGAGAGCTGATCGTTCGTTGCCCTGTATGTTCGTGCAACTCCGCATGCACAACGCTTGTGCTTCCGCGTGACTTGCGTTGACTGCGTTTTGTGACGTGTGACTTTCGTTGACTTGTGTTTTGCCAACTGCCTCGTGTTGTAGTGACTGTTAATGTGACTGCTAATGTAGCTGACTGTTAATGTAGCGTTATATTATTAGGGAGTTTTTCGTTTTCGCCGTCCCTAAATGTTCTCTGCAACCGGCTACGACACCCTGAACTCTATAGTCAACGCCATGGGCGCGCAGGCGCAGTAGCGGCTTCTTCGTTGCGGAGGGCTTAGCTGAGGAGGAAACGCGGTCTACGAAAACTCCCTATTGCCAACTGCCTCGTGTTGCGTGACTGTTAATGTAGCGTTATTTTTGTTTCGGCATCCTGCTTGGACCTTTAAAGGTCCGCAGTATGAAATAAATAAAATAAATAAAGAGGCGCCCGTCATTAAATTGCAAACGCTCTCTATGCTCTGAGTTGTTCCAGGCTTTCTAAGAAGTTCGTGCAAATACGACGCAACACGTGGGCATGTCTAACCTGGGTTGAAGAGCTTGGTAACGAATTGATATGGAGGCGAGGTACCGGAAGCAGATGTTATGAGGGATCCGGACGACCCGGATGTTCCGGGCCCTCCAAAAGGTCCAGGAGGTCCGGATGGTGTAGAAGGTCCGGAAGCGGATGTTACGAGGTATCCAGATGACCCGGATGTTCCGGGCCCTCCAGAAGGTCCAGGAGGTCCGGATGATGTAGAAGGTCCGAAAGCGGATGTTACAAGGTATCCAGATGACCCGGATGTTCCGGACCCTCCAGGAGGTCCAGGAGGTCCAGAACGTCCAGATGGTGTAGACGGTTCGGCAGGTTGGGGCTTGGCTCCCTTGTACGGGCCTAATCGCGTGTTCTTCGTTACTCTAACGTCGGTACGGACGCTGTACCTTCCGGCGCCCTTGAGTTGCGTGAAGAACGCAGAGTAGTCGCCGTCATCTTTCAAGTTGTCTGCCCCTGCGCCCAAGGAGCACGTCCAGATCCTAACTTTTGAAGACACAGTGAACATCCACGCCTTTAGATCAGGACACAAACAAAAAACGGGAATCTGTTGTTTATTTTCTTTCGAGAAAAGAGAAATTTGTTTCTAAACACTAAGTGAAAGAAACGACTCTATGCGCTGGTCTAAGCCAAGTATGAAAAACGCAGAGAGGGCTTGCAGACTACGTTCCAGAGCCAATAAACACAAGTTAATCCATTGATATCGAAGAAATCAATTCCAGACCTTAATTAATAAGGTCACACCGCGAAGAAAGATAAAACTTGAGTTAAAAAGCCCAGTTAACCATGCCCTAGAATTTGCATTTTGAGCAACGCATGACTATCGCGGACACATTATATTTGCTGGCGATGGAACCTTCGGCTTCATCCTTGCGGCAAGACCGCCATGTTCTCCAACGTCGGTTACGTCATCCATCCACGTAGACCTGCTTGACGTGTAGTCACATGATGCGTTCACAGCAGACTTATACGTAGCGCTCTACTTGTTTCTTTCTTTTTTTTATTGGTAACGAAGTGACTACCGTAGTTGCTTTTTTAAGAAAAGGAATTCGAGTAATATATTTTCGTTACTTTTTGATGAAGTAACGATTAACGATGTTTAGTTATTTCTAAAAGGAAACGTGCGCAACGCAAGCACCGCACCTAGTTCTCACCCAAGCTCACGCGTGTAATTTTCACTACGAGAAAACGCTAGATAGGGACAAAATCTATGTACTCAATGTAGGTCAGTACAGCCCCAGTTATCCATAAAAATGAACGCGTTAAAAAGCGAGGGATTATTAACGACGGCAAATATTTGAAGCCTGGGCTACAGCTTCATAAAAACGACACATTCGGGTGCAAAAGTAGTCCAAAAGACGTCCGTAGACGTTTCGCACTGCGTATGGGAAGCGAAACGTCCACTGGAGTTGTTTTTCTTCTGTTATGTGTAGTAGCTAGGTGTCCTTATTTTAATAACGACATATTTGAAGTAATGAGGAAATAGTGCGTTAATTTCGGGCTGAGGTACCGCGTTCCTTGAAAATCGCAGTGACGAGTAATATACGTGCTACTTAGCAGATATGGCAGTAATGACATTACTGTAATGAAATTGCTGCATTTAAGTTACTTTTTGCTGTAATGAGTAACGTAATGAATTGCTTTTCTCTGCTTGTAATTTAGTAATGTAATGAAATACTTTCAGGCCGTAATTTTTGGGAAACACCCATTACTCTCGTAATTCCTTTTTTCCGAGGCCCATCTGAGATCAAAATCTGTGAAAGTGACCCGGGAGTCGAGAGCAAGGCAACACACACAAAGGCGGGGTCGAAAGGCGAAGTGGACAAAGAAAAAGGTTTCCAGTAACGTCGGTCTTCCGCCACTTGATGATGCCTCCCCCCCCCCCCCCCCCCCACTCCAATACCCACGCGCAGACAGCGAAGTCAAACCATGAAAGGGAAGCGATTGACTGGTCTGACAGGCGCGTAGCTACCCTCGCACTGTGAGCTTAGGCGTGAACGTAATGTAGTCGAAAACGGCAAAACGCGAGCAAAACAGGCTCATCTTGGGAAGTTACATCAGGAAGGAGCAAACCCGCTGGCAGAGCCGCTGGTTCGTTGGCGAATGACACAGTTCAGGCGGCACCCGCCCCCCCCCCCCCCCCCCCCCCCCCCTTTCCTTCTATGGTGGCGTTTCTCCCCAGAAAACACCCGGCCTCTTTTTCGTGACAACGCGCGACAATTCGCACACTTGTGGTGTTATGAAGCAAGACTCTCCGAGAAAGATGTCCGGGAGTGGGTCGACCAGTGCTTTTGAGAGAAAACGATTCGACTGCGTTGGAGTCGGAAGAAAGAGGTTATAGGCATTTCCTCAACCTTTTGCCAAGTGGATTTGGGAAGCCACAGAAGGGGCAGTTCGCCAAAAGCTGCATAAGAGGAAGTTTAGCAGACCTCATAACAGTCGTTACGACTTCATGTAAAAACGACCTGCTATGGCCCGATCAATCGAAGGGAACGAATTCTCCAAAATCGGGAGGACGGAATCACATCCGCCATTGAACGATCAACTGAACCGTTGAATGAAGAGCAAAAGCCGGTCAGCTATCTGTTTTAGTCCAATTTTAAGAAACTCTACGTTATGTTTAACACTTCCGTCGTCACGGGCACGAATTTCTACCTGAAGGAATTGTAAAGTAAGTTCGAAGTAATTTCATTACTTGTCAAAATTAATTGTTAAGTAATTAGTTACTTTTAGTCTTCGGTAATTTGTAACGTAATTTAAATACATTCGCCTATTTCTGAGAAAAGTAATGAGTAATGTAATTTAATTACTTTTGAACATTAATTTTGCCATCTCTGGTAATTAGTTAAGTACAAAACGAGCGTGTTGGTAAACCGCAATGTTGCTAGAGCACTCAGTTGGGAAACTCACCGTTGAAACCTGGGCCGCTGACGTCCACCGAGACAGAGCTAAATACGATAACAGCGACACCGTTTAGCAACGAGTTGAAACATGAAAAGTTTCCTGATATGGCTACTGCAAGAGTCACTGAATGTTCCCAGAGTACCGAAACTCCCAGGCTCGAGGTGCGAAGATGGCTGCTCAATCTTTTTTCTTTACTGTAGTTCCCTTGAGCTTTTAGAATATCATGTTTTTGCGTAAACACCAACGAAAAAAAAAAAAAAAAAACCTGTTTTTGTAGGAACTTTTATTGGAGATTAATACAAAATAACAGGCGCGTGTTGTTTTCTAAAATATTTAGTTTACAAGGTTTTGCGGCAGGATTAATATTGATTTTATGCAAGCGTGTCTCACCGGTGATTTCCGGTAGCCCGTTCCGACCTGGGTTCGTCCAATTTCGTTAGTAATTCGCGCCGCGTCCGCTTAAGAGACGCGGGTCAGCATCCCTAAAACCCCTCCCACCGTATATGTTTCGGCGCCCAAATGGCCGATTAATGCCAAAATTGAAGTCACAGCGGATGCTATCGAATGCTGTTCTCCCGAACCAACACAAACAGCCGTGCAGTTCCCCGAGTGGCCGCTACGGGAGAAATGGTGGCGTTGCGGTCGCCATTAGCTCGGTTCTCGAGTACGGATCGGTGCCACTTTTTCAGAGCAGGCTCCATGGCAGTTTCCCAGCTGAGTTGTTCTAGTAACGTTGGTAAACAGTATCAACCACGATGAAAGTGCCACAGAGAAGGGGACAAGCAACAATGATGTTGTCCGTCCCCTTCTCTGTGTTATCTTCCTCATGTTTTGCACTTAATTACTTTTGACGAGCTTCCTCTCTCTCCCAGTTACTTTTTGAGTAACGGTGTTTAGTTATTTTACTTCAGTTAAGCGTACATCATAAGGTGTCGCTGCTGTCAACACGGCGTATGCTCAGACGCTGCATCAGCCGTACCTATTCCGTTGTCCAGAAGTTGAAGCGTCTCGCCAGTTCCACCAGGTTCGCCAAAGGTGACCGTGGCGGTGACCAAGGCACCCAGGACCGCAGCGGTACCTTTGGTGACCTTGGTGTAGATGCGAGTCTGCTGGTTGTTGTGCTCGACACTGCTTTCGGCTCGGATGGGGTCTTGACCAGGAACCCGCTGCTTGGAAAGCACCACGACCGTGATGTCGGCGATGCTAGCCGCTTTAGGCGTTACGACCAATCTCCAGGTGTTGGTCTGAAAGACATCACCCGGTACTCTTAAATAATGGCGTAGAACATGCATATAGCCTCCTACGCAGGGTGAAACCTTGCGTTTTCGGCGCCAAAACAGTAAGCGGCCAGACTACAGGTAAAAGAGCGAGGACCAGCGGCACGCGAGGAGGAAATCACCTTGAAGGCAGCGCCGCAGAGTTGTCGTAAGGCGAACAACTCCACTTTTCTTTTTGTATTTTGTAAGAGAAAAGAAGGAGAAAAAAATGAAAGCCGCTTACAACTCCCTGTAACGCCGAATTAGAGCGCAGCTCTTGAGGAGGAGGAGGGAAGGGCACTGGGGGGGGTTAAACTAACCAGGGGGGGGTCACGTTACCTTGGGGGTCACGTGACCCCCAATGCCGATGATGTCATCACTGACGTCACTGATGACGTCATCAGTGACGATGACGATGCGGGTACCGATGACGTCATTAGTGACGTCACTGATGACTTCACCAGTGATGATGACGATGACGATGCGAATGTCGGTGACGTCATCAGTGACGTCGCTGATGACGTCATCAGTGATGATGACGATGACGATGCGGATGCCGGTGACGACATCAGTGACGTCACTGATGACGTCATCAGTGATGATGACGATGACAATGCGGATGTCGGTGACGTCATCAGTGATGATGACGATGACGATGTGGATGCCGGTGACGTCATCAGTGATGATGACGATGACGATGTGGATGCCGGTGACGTCATCAGTGATGATGACGATGACGATGTGGATGCCGGTGACGTCATCAGTGATGATGACGATGACGATGCGGATGCCGGTGACGTCATCAGTGATGATGACGATGACGATGTGGATGCCGGTGACGTCATCAGTGATGATGACGATGACGATGTGGATGCCGGTGACGTCATCAGTGATGATGACGATGACGATGCGGATGCCGGTGACGTCATCAGTGATGACGATGACGATGTGGATGCCGGTGACGTCATCAGTGATGATGACGATGACAATGTGGATGCCGGTGACGTCATCAGTGATGATGACGATGACGATGTGGATGCCGGTGACGTCATCAGTGACGATGACGTCATCGGGGGGTCACGCGACATCGGCGGGGGTCACGTGACCTCGAGGAGGGGGCCACGTGACCTCAGGGGAGTCACGTGACTTCGGGGGGTCACGTGACCCCCCACGAGGTCACGTGACCTTGGTGGGGGGCTCGCGCGGTGCATTAAGGGACATTTCCCATGATGCACCGCGCGGTTACGCCGACGCCGACGCCGACGGCGACGCCGCTCAAGCCGGAAACGGGCCCCTAAGAGCTGCGCTCTAAAAAGACTCGCTGCTTACTGCCTTTCCTAACTCCGTTTCATGATAACTTCGCGAACTGTGGATGCTGCGGCCTCCGGGACCAAATAAGGGCGCTGGAGCAAGGCATGTGATAACACTCCATTGTCGAGGCCACCGGGGGCTCGTTACTGCCAAAGCAACAAAGCCCTCCGCGACAAAAAATAATTCTAGGTGTTTTTTTTTTTTTTCTTTCAACGGCAATTCAACTCGCGCGATTCCCTTTATAACGAGAAGATATGAAAAATAAAGAGTGAGTAGTCACAAATTTATGAGTTTCAACTATATGGAGATTTATGAGTTTCAACTATGGGGATTCGCGGCCCAAGCTCTATACTAATCGCCCCGAATTTGCAGACTTCTTCAACGGACGCCACACGCCCCCTCCTATCACGAACCACGTCACCACTCGCCTGCATTGATCTGCGCAAGCGGCCTCTACCGTCCGGTGTGCCGGACAACATCGCAAGAGCATCGGAGCACAGCGGGATAGCGGCGCGGCCTTCAAAAGAAGCCAGCACCGGAGTATCTGCGGGATTCGCGGCCCAAGCTCTGTGCTAATCACTCCGAATTTGCAGGTAAGCCCAAAACAGGGCATTTTCTGCTTCGTTTTGTAACGTTAGGAGGGAACAGCGCAAAAAAGGACGAAAGACGAGGTCGAAGAAACACACAGACAGGGCGCGTTTTGTAACGCCGTGAATCCCCTGAGTGCTTAGATGGGCGTTGATGTTGCAACCTACAGAGCCCGGGTTGGCTGTTTTCATCCGAGGAAAACCAGAGATAAACACTTTCCGATGTTCAAATGCCTGTACCTTCAGCGTTTCTGTGATGCGGGTTGTCTGAAGCTACTTGTCGTTACATCTGTCATGCTTATGCTCTTGTCAAATGCGGGCGACGTCGAGTCAAACCCCGGGCCCCCGACTAACTCGGAAAAGATTGACCAACATAGGGTATCAATCGATGCCCTGATTGCTAACTCTGCCCAAAATCAGCTTGAGAACTCAAAAAAGCTAGACGAAATAAAGGGTAGTATCGCCGGTCTGGGAGTCCGCGTTGGTAATTTGGAGAAAAAAGTGGAAGAGATTAGAGTCATCAAACGAGAACTTAACCACGGTGAAGTCAACTCTGGGCGAGCTTCAACAAAACACTTCTTCCTTGCAAATTCAGTCAGAGTCTCTCGAAAATGCTGTCAATCACTTAAACAATCGGTTAAGGAGGAACAACCTTATATTCAAGGGACTACCAGAGAGCGATAATGAAACTTGGAACCAAGCGGAGACAATCATACGTGAGTTCGTAACAAGAAATTTGGGGGTGAACTTGGGCGAGGTGGAAAGATAGCATGGCATCGGTCGCAAGAGAGACGGTTTCCAGAGGCCGATTATTGTGAAACTTTTGAACTTCAAAAGTAAAGAGGAGATACTTCGTAACGCTTCCAAACTGAAAAACGTAACTTCACCAAAAGTGTCGATCTCGGAAGATTATTCCGATAAAACCAGGCTGGCGCGACAAAAACTGTGGGAGTGCGCTTCTGTGTACCGAGATGAAGGAACAAGTTACAATATTAAGTTTGATAAGCTATACGTAAACAACGAGATCTATGTTTACTTCCATTCCAGCCAAACCGTCTTTCAGCTCGGAGGGCGTTCCCCTGTTAGCGCTTCCAACGAATGACTTGCTCAAAGTTCTAGTACTGACATTGCACACTTACCCCGATTATCATTTTTACTAGCCAACTTTCGAAGCATCATTTCAAAACAAGTAGAATTTGAAAACATCACCGTAAGCTGTCAACCAGATATCATATTTGAAACGGAGACTTGGTTATGCCCCGATATCAACAGTGCCGAACTTATCTTATCTAATACTTATAACCTTTATAGAAAAGACCGAACGACACAAAGAGGAGGCGGCGTTCTTATCGCTGTTAGAAAGGATATTACTTGCTCGGCCATTGAAAACATTTCGCCTCTAGAAATGTTATGGGTACGCTTGCAACTGGACTTCCGATTTCTGCTCCTCGGTGTTTGTTATCGTCCTCCGAATTCGCAGAATGATGAATTCAATGAATGCTTCTATAATTCCGTAGGCACCATAACTAAATCATTTCCTAATCACCCACTTGTCGTCGCTGGGGATTTTAGTTTTCCCGGTATCAATTGGTCGAGTCTTCAACTCCATAACAACTGTCTTAACCCACTTCAGTTCTGTGCTTTTCTTCGGGTGTATCTCAAAACGTCCCATTCGCGTTTGTACCTTGCGCATTTAGTCCCATTCTCATTTGGTCCTTCTCGTTTGGACCTTCTCATAAAATCCGAATCAGGTTTTTCTCAACTGGGCCCATTCTCATTTTGCCCGTTATCTGAAAACGTCCCATTCGCATTTGGACGTTGCGTATTTCGTCCTATTCTCACTTGGTCCGCGTCGGTGGAACATTCTCATAAGATCCAATTCGGTTGTTTGTTTGTTTTGTTTTTGTTTGTTTTTGTTTTTGCAACTGGGCTTATTTTCATACTGCCCGTTCGCGCTACGACCGAATCGGACTAGCTTGGCAAGCTTCTCCCGTCATTATACCTTCCCGGCTTTGTACGTGAGTCTTACCTTGCTTGGGCACCCAACATATATACCATCAGATATAGAGTCGAAATATAGCTAACCCCACCCCTTAGCTTGGTCGAATCCATTTTTCTGCATTCGAAGAAAGGGATACTATTTTTTACCGACGAACATCTCTCGTAACCCCCCCCCCCCCCCCCCCCCCCCCCCAACGCGCACACAAATACACTTCTCAGCTCCCAAAAATACAAACACTACAAGATAACGTAATACGCTTGTACAATGACGCCTAGCTGCTTTCCTTTCTCGAAACGAACGCAAAGAAAAGAAAGAACGATGAACACTTAACTTAGAAACTCTGTTTGAACAGAAATAGATCATGTATGTTCAAGATAGAAGTGGTTGCATTGTCACAAGTCGAGCCACCTCAAAGACGATGACATTTCGGAATGTGATCTGTCTGCGATAAGTAGTTGGTCTGTTGTTTTGTCAGGCAGTATCTTTTCTCGACGATCACGGCGCACGACTAAAATCATTGGCAGAGAGAGTAGGCCGGTAGCGTGGCACACACACAAAAGAAAATATTAGTGAATTTATGAATATATATTACTCGAAAAACCCAAATTTTCGGTAGAAAGAGTCAAATGTGCTGGGTTAAAGCGAGATATTTATGAGAATATCTGTTTTGAGAAGGGCCAAGTGAGGAGGGCGAAAAGAACGGGCTCAATTGAGGGTGGTTGAAATACGAAGGACGAAACGCGAAAGGGCCAAATGCGACAGGTCAAAGTGATAAGGTATTTTTGAGAATGATTGTTTTGAGAAGGACCAAGCGAGAAGGGCGAAACGAGAACGGGCTCAAATGATAATCACCCCTTTTCTTCAAACTCTACGTATCAACGGCCTTCACCAGATGGTTTCTGAACCCACAAGAAATAACGCCATCTTAGACCTATTTCTAACTACAGATCCTCAGTGCGTGCAGGGCGTCAACATTATTGACCAGATTAGTGACCACAAGATTATTTCTGTTAATACAGCCTTCCCTGTTCAACGCTCCACCAAGGCTCGGAAAAATATTCACAACTATTCACGTGCAAACACCGTAGACATAAACACAACTATGGCTCAATTGGTTATAGACTACACGCGCAACCACGCATCACGCTCTGTCGATGAAAACTGGAACTTGATCAGAAGTCAACTTCAAGAAGTGTTGTCACGTCACATTCCTACTTTTTCAATAGCATCGAATCCGGCCTCTCCATGGTTCACCCGATCTATAAAGACACTCCTGAATAAAAAAAAAAAAAAAAAGGCTCTTTCAGAATGCTACGAAGTTTAATACATTCCTACATTGGACAAATTACCACACTGTTTCAAATACGTGCAAGCATGAAGTATAAAACGCCAAGAGGAAATTTTATGGCCAGACACTACCAGATACTTTGCGATCCGACCCCCAAAAGTTTTGGCGTGTCGTTAATCCGAAGGAAAGGGACGCCCACCCAGATCTAACTGATGAGAATGGTGTGCCACTTTCGGATGGCGATGCAGCCAACGCGTTCAATAACTTTTTTTCCAGTGTCTTTACAGATGAACGCTTTCCGTGGCCTTCTTTCGTTTTGCGTTCAGACAGCATTGAGCCTATGCCCCCTTTAATTTTTACACCTCAAGGTATTTCCCAACTCATTGAAAACCTTCGAGTCGGTATCTGTCCCGGAGAAGATCAAATTTCTTCAAAACTCTTAAAAGTAACAAGGGACTTGATATCTCCCGTTCTTTCACTATTTCTTTCAGCAGAGCCTCGACTCTATCATTGTTCCTGCCGATTGGAGTCATGCCCAAATAACACCTATCCTTAAAGCTGGTCCATCATCAAATCCTACCAACTATAGACCAATATCCCTCACTAGTGTGCCTTGCAAACTCATGGAACACGTCATATACACGCACCTTCTCGCTCACCTCGATCAATTCAACTTTTTGTTTCCAAACCAACATGGCTTTAGGAAACATCACTCATGTGTCACCCAGCTATTCGAGTTCATTACTGACTTTCATGTCAACACTCATGACAATCACCAGACCGATATCATCTTCATCGACTTTGCCAAAGCTTTTGATACTGTCCCACATAGTCGCCTCCTCCTAAAGCTATCACGACTCCACATCGAACCGTGCATTCTTAACTGGATCGCTTCCTTCCTTTCTAAAAGAACTCAGTCCGTAAAAATAAACGCTTCTCTTTCTTGTCAATGTTCAGTATCGTCTGGTGTACCGCAGAGGAGCGTTCTTGGGCCTCTTTTGTTTTTAATATATGTAAATGACCTTCCTTCTTCATTAACGTCCACCATTAGACTTTTCGCTGATGATTGTGTCATATACAGAAGGATATCCGATACATCCGATCATTTAATATTGCAAAATGAGCTTGACAGGATCGGAACTTGGTGCACCGACTGGCTCTTGAATATTAATGTCTCAAAAAGTAAACACATGAACATTTCCGCATCGCCAAGCAGATCGTCTACCCAGTATTTCCTTCAAGGACGCAACATTGACAGGGTGTCCGTTTACAAGTACCTTGGTGTCCACTTTTCAGAAACGTTAAACTGGTCTTATGAGGTAGATTGCATAGTAGCAAGTGCTCATAAAACCCTCGGCTTCTTGAAAAGAAATATATCTCTCGCACCTCCGTCCACTAAATTGCTTGCCTATATACAATTCGCTGATACTTCCAAAACTAGAATACGCTAGCGCTGTCTTGAGTCCTCATCAGGCATACCTTGTTGATAGACTGGAGTCCGTCCAGAATAAGGCAGCCCGATTTATTACCTCTGACTATTCATCATTCACTAGCGTCACGTCACTAAAAAACAACCTCGGTCTACATTCTCTTGAGAATGTAGACTTGGTGTGCATCTAACCAATGACCTTTCCTGGAATTTACATGTCGAATATGTCACTAATAGCGCATATCGCTTACTAGGTTACCTCAAAAGAAACCTTTCGCTTACTCCTGTTTCATTAAAGCTTCTAATCTATAAGACTTTCGTCCGTACTAAACTGGAATATGCAGCCTCTATCTGGGACCCCGGTATCACCCTTTCATCCGCTGTTGAGTCCATACAAAATCGTTCCGCTCGTTTTATCCTCTCGAACTATCATTGCACATCCAGCGCCACATCTATGAAAGCATCCCTTTCCTTGCCTAACCTCTCTCTTCGCAGGAAAATACCCCGGCTTTGTCTTTTTCAGAAGATTTTTCACTCTAATCCAACACTTCGTCAAACATTATTCTTAGAACCATCTTACATTTCGCTACGAACTAATCACCATCTAAAAGTGGGCGTCCCCCAGAGTAACACCTCATCTTTCAATGCGTCCCTTCTCCCTCAGACCTCAATAGATTGGAATCGCCTTCCTGCACCCATAGTCTAGATAACTGATGCTACTGATTTTAAAATTGCCATTACTAAGTTTTTTGATGTTCAATAACTTTTGTTTTATGTCTTGCCTTATGTATCGTTATACTCATATGTTTCCGTTTAAAAAAAAACCCACTCCTCTCTGTAATGCCTTCGGGCCCTGAGAGAACAATAAATGAAATGAAATGAAAACGTCGACGGCTGTCACGACTATATCTGTTTCATACCATTTTCAATAGCGCATCAACATTTAGGCAAACCTACTGCAAACCGCCCTCCTATATATCACCCAGAACGGATCACCAACTTAAGATTCAGCCGCCCAAATCACGCACACTATTATTTTCCTCATCGCCTGTTGTCATGTGCATTAGAGATTGGAACGATATGCCATACGAAGTTGTATCGGAGGCTAACCTAGCAGCATATAAGTTAAAATGTGAACACTACATTGGAATGAGCAGTTAGTAAGCGGTCTCTACCTTGATATTTATTTGCCTTGCACGCTGTTGTATATTTGTGCATTTTCATCTTGATCTTTTTTACGTTAATTTTTGTTTACACCCATTCAATTATGTCGCAATATATGAAATTGCAATGTTATATCATGTATGTGTTCTTTTTCCTGCTCTTTTGTGTGCAAGCTTTCCCCAGTGCATTTTTGTGCGTATGATTTTAAGATGTAAATAGCATATACGCGAAAATACTGTTTTGAAGTTCTAATTGTATGTTATGAATTTCCTCCTGATGTAATGCGCTCGCAAGTCGAGTGCCTTTGAGGTAATAAAATGAAATGAAATGAAATGAAATATTTATGCCAAAAAAAGTGAGGCCACATTCGTATCCGCTCGATTGTTTTTTTGCCTTGCAGCGCCGTGGCCTTGGCCTGGCATGAGCACGCGTCACAGATTCGCGGCTAGATTGAGCGTATGGCTGCCTCATGAACTGTTCCCGATGTGCTCGCGATTCTTGCGGAAGGATACGTTGCTTCGGTGGACGTTCATTCGAAGTTGGTTGGTTTCGGAGCAGACGACAGTCGGTTCCTCTGGGCCTCGCATTTCGCGTGGTGACACAAGTGCTGCCTTGACGTCGTGTCACGTGCCTCGCTCCGACGCTCTTATTGGTTCGCGGGCCCCAGCCTCCACAGTGCGCCAAGTTGTCGTGAAACGAGCAAAGGTACGAGGATCGATACGTTCTGCGCTTGCGTCGCACTGCTGACGTCACTCGCGGCGTGGTCACGTGGAGCCGGCGCAAGACGCAAGAGTCAATATTACACGCGCTCTTTGCCGGTTTAGTTTCGGTTTGAAGCACCGGTTTATAAGGAGGACATTTCCCGCCCCTTAGCGCCCACTATCGCACACACTTGACGGTTAGACTCAACGAGATCCAGCGTCAATTTTCCAAGTACAAGTTGCCCACTAAACTATATTTAGAACGTTAATGTAAAAAGATAGAGCGTTTTAAAACTCTAGTTATAAAATATAGTGCTTTTTCATACCTAAATGCATAATTAAACGCAGATTGATAAATCCGTCTAATCAACGAAAACAATGCGGAAGAAAGAATTACTGCAAATGTAAAGTAGTTACATATTTATATTTTTAGTTAGTGGAAAAGATTTATTTTGGTTTTTTCTTTTCCTTTTCCTTCTGATTTTTTTTTTTTGCAATAATTAAAACGTTACTTAGCTAGCGTTGCTTTTTTCTCGTTTTTTTTCGCGTTTTTAACTTACATGCGTTACGTAACCTAGCCGAAATGCAAAAAAATATTTCCAGTTATTGTCTTTTCTTTCAGTTTTCATCACTGCTTATCGCTGTTTTAATTGATTTTCTTGGATCTTTTTTATTCTTTTCGCGGACGGATGTTTGTTGGTGTTTAAGACCGGAATATGCACTGCCTATCTACGACAGATATTTTTTTTTCCTACCGTGCTCGTTCGTGGCATGTCTATGTTGGTGGACTGTTTTCCCAGGGTCACGTTACACGCAGTGCAGACTTTGCCGTTCGAGTCCTCCACTTTGAGGTCGTAGTCTTCGTCATTCGGGGTGGTCACGAGAATCTTGGTCTCGTGGCCGAGCTCCTTCGGGATGGTGAAGGGGAATTCTTTCCGTCCGCTGACCGCTTCTGTCTCGTCGAGCAGCTGGAGTAGTAGAAAGGAACGAACGCCACCACATTAAAGACGGTCGAGACGAGGAGACAAAAGGATGTCATTCACGGCACTGCCTTCCTTCCACACATTCTAAGGAGTGCCAAGGTGACATCCCCCTTCTTAGCTTTGTGCCCCCTGTACTGTACTTGTTGAACGTTAAAGGGGCACTAAAGTGGGTTTTGAGATGGTCTTTCTGAATGGCGCAAACTCAACCAAAGCAACGTAAACATCGCAGGCACAGTAAGAGTCGGCTGCGTCTGGACATAGCCTCCTCTAGGGTGCCTTCATGTGCGCTTGGCTTAGGGTGGAGACATCTGGCCATTTTCTCACACTTTTATTTTTATTTTTTGTTCAAAAGCGCGTGAAGGAACGTGTCCCTGCACGTGCTCGTGGCGCTGACTGTGCTACGGCGACATTTTGTTTTCGCCGATTTCTTTGTATTTTACCCGTGAGCGCGTGCTGTCGGCATCGGGTACTACAAAGGGTGGCATCACCCTTAACAGAAGGACATTGAAGCACCCTAGCCTCCTCTATACTCACAAAACCTGGCAGTTTGACGACGGAGCCGCAAAGTGCCCTGTCGCAGAGTTCGAGCGCGAGGATCTGGTAGCACAGGGCATCAAAGAGCCATTTCTCGGGGAACCTGGACGTCAGCGCACACCGATTGCAGCGGCGAGGGCCCGAAACACACTTGTTCGCTTGGGAGAGGTGTGTTTCGGCGTCTCTCCGCTGCTTGGCGCCAGTCACGTGGCTCTCCTGTCGTCCGTTGTCTGCCGCTCCACCTTTTCCGTTTCGGCGGCCGCTTCTTGCGGCGATCTGCCAGGCGTTGTCTGTGTATAGGAGGCTATATGGTCTGTACTTAAGCCTAAATGAAGTGTATAATCAGCGTCTATGGCAAGTTCCACAACTGAGTTGACTTACTATTTTGGCGCTGCCACAGCGTTCAGTTGCGGGTCGAGTTTAATCGGATCTTTACTTACGGTATACGGTGACTGTTCAGCGGGTGGAAACCAGTGTGGTAGGCGTTACCGTAAAAATGTATTGAAATACGTTACTTGCAACTATGTAGAAGGAACGCGATGCCGAACTACGTTACCCTAAAATGCAGGGTGTTCCTCGTAACTTAAGCCAAGGTTTAAAAGTATTTTGGTCCATCTTAGGAAGACGAAACCAATGGAATAACTTTGTTATTGTTGGGAGCCAAGTCAGGTTACTTTTCGTACTTTGACCAATTAACTAATTAATCAAGGTCAACTACTGAACTTCTGAAATATTCAATTTAGAGCTAAAGTTTCAATGGCGAAGTTGTAGAGCGTCCATCAGAAACATCCAATTCAATGGCTTTTATGAGGAAACCTCTGACAAGGATAGTTTTCCGGGACATAAAAAAAATTGCAAATCATATAAAGAAAAAACGCGAATATTTTAACAGCGTTCGGCCAACAGTGTTCTATTCAGCATGCGGGCCTAGTTTATTCAAGCTGCGGCTGAGAGCGCTGCAATACAAGACTCTCAAGCGCAAAGTCACGTGTTTTTTATCGTAATACGCGAGCCTTTTCTGAAGTCCAGAAAAACGAAGTTTTAGAGGTTTGTTGATAAAAGCCACAAAACTGGATATTTCTAAGGGCGCTCTACAATTTTGTCATTGGAACTTTTGGTCTAAACTGAATATTTGAAAAGTGCATTAATTAATTTTAAAAAAATAATTCACTGGGAAAATACAAAAAAAAGGTAGCATGACTTGCTCCGAACAACAAATAAACTAATTCTTTTAGTTTCGTGTTTCTAAAATGCACCAAAACTTTTTTAAAGCTTGGCTAAAGTTACGTGGAACACCCTGCAGAAGCAACGCGTTGCCGTTACCGATAAAAAGTAACGGGTAGCCGTTACTGAAAAAAACTAACGCACGTCACTTCTGCGCAACTTTTTATTTATAAAACGACAGCGTGCTTCAAAGCTTGGACGAAGGGCGTGAGCGTCGGGATTTTTCTAAAGCAGGTGTGTTTGCGTGGCTACAACAGAGGCGAAATTTCGAAGGTACATGGCGAGAGTAGAAGAATTTGTATGATTTCACTATAAAAAAAACATGGAAAAAAACAAACGAAGTGTAATATTTTTTTAAGTTTTGGGTAGATGTAATAACTATGGTAACGACGCTCCTTGTAACAGAATCATATGGCGGGCTAGTTGGTTGAACATTGTAACATGAATAGCGGAAAGACGAGGACAAGCAGAACAGGAACACAGGACAGGCGCTAACTTACAGGAGGCGTTTTAATGATTATGTAAAGGAAGACAAAAAGCAAGTGTGGAACGAATTGAAGTTAAAAAGGGAAAGAAAAAGAAAGGAAAAATCAAGTATAGGGCAACACTCAGGTTATTTTTTTTTTTTACGAGCTTGGTATTAGAAATCAAAATAAAAACATAAACAAAGAAGATTCGGTAGTCCACCGTCAAGAGCCATAAGGAAGGGTGCACCGTTTCCGGATGGACGTCACGGAGGGAGGATCTTGGCAGAAATCGATGCGAAGTTTTCTACTTCGTCAACTGTCTAGCCTCCAAATAGCAGACCCTTTCCTATATGTACCAAGTTCTGAAACACTGATCTATTACCTGCGACAAAACTCTACGACGGTCGTCCGTTTTGTGTTCTCACTTGATATAGATGATTTGTTTTAGTTCGTCCCGCATAATAACTTGTTCGCAGCAATATCTGAGTGTCTTGAGGCCAATGAATCTATTCCCATTCAAAACCAGTGTGGTATGGCAGTGGGACCCTTCATAAAGCTTTTGAGGTATTACCTTTCCGCCACGGTTGTAAAGTTTGAATTACACCAAGAAGAAAGGAATATGTATAGGTTCGTGCGTGACCCCAGTCTTATGTGACATTGTGACCGGGCCATACAGCCAAGACACTTTCCACCAACCAAATATCTCGTATCTTTTACTATGTATATAAGTAGAACTGGTTCGCCTTATAATCGACCTGGGGAAAACGACACGCATCAAATTAACAAAATATCATCTAGTGCGGCTATAAATAAATATTGTGACCATTGAGCCGAGGAGACCTTTATATTGATGCTCAGGTACTAAGACTCAAAGCCTCTGGATACCCAATTCTATCCTATTCATTGTCGCAGATGTCTATAAAAGTCACATCTGGCAGAGAAGGAGAAATAAAAATATTGTAGAGCCCCTCCACTTCACGTGAAGATGGAGGACAAGCGAAGCTGTTATTTTTACGGCGTCTAGGACAATAGCTAGAGGACGTCTAGGACGACCTCGAGGACGACGCCTAGAGGGCGACACCCAGGACAACCTCGAAGACGTTGCCTAGAGATGATAACAAGGGATCAGGACCCCACTATGTAATAATTCCAAGAAAGGCTGACTGCTTCTTATCTTCCTTCCTTCCTTCTCTTCTCCTCCTTGTCATTGTCTGTCACTGCCTCTCTCGTTTTTTTTTACTAAAATGGTTGCCCCCTCTTTACATTTTTATTTATTCACACTTGCCACGACCAATGGGGAGCTTTCTGTCAACGTTTGCGGACGCATTTCCCCAGTTCCTTGCCGACTCTTTTAACAGCTTCCCAGTAAAAACGCCTGAAACACATAGGGACGGACGCACACAGACCGGACAGTTCTGTCTGTGTGTCCTGTTTGCGTGTGCGTCTGTGTCCTGTCCTGTCTGTCCTGTCTGTGTGCGTCCGCCCCATGTGCTTTATTCTTTCGTGCTTCGAGTCATCTGTGCCAACCTGCTCTGTGTTCACGTTCAGTAAAAACTTTCAGTCTTTCCACTCTGGTGAAGAAGGAAGTCCAGCGGAGCTGTACAATGGAAAGTAATGGCCGGTCGCTAGTGGTAAGCCAGAGTGGAAAGGCTGCCGCCATCTATGAGTGACGGCGGCAACCAGATACGAGGCTTGCCGCCATCGCTCATAGATGGCGGTAGGTGTCCAGAGTTCGGTGTCTTCCTTTCTCTGCGGGGAACACGATCCTGGGGAAACTAGCCCTTAACAGCTCCGCTGTAAAAGAGTCGACGAGGAATCCGGCGGCCGTGACTAGCCGGGGCCTCGTTTGACCTTGTCACCGGCCAATCACGGCAGTCGAATAGACCTTTTCCGGGAAATTCCAGGAGGCGTATTTTGCGACGACGGGAATTGTCAGGCTGTTCGGATGTACGCTCGTGACGGCTCGAACGCTTTGTACGTCCTGGTAGCGTCACGATTCGTTCTTTCTTATCATTAGGGAACAGACGACACAAAAAACTAAAGCGAACGGAAAAGAAGGTCATCACAAACTCCGTGTTGCTTTCCTCGTGCTTTCTCTGTATTCTGAAATTACAAACTGTTTAATCAACGTCAGTTTCGTTTCCCCTCTTTGCATCATTTCACGTGCCGTACATCTGAAAGTCACAATGCGCAAAGCAGATGCTGGGAAAGGTATATTCCTCGCCGACATTTTCGCCAAGTGTCCAGATTTAAAGCCCCCGAAGGACAAGGTTTCGGATTGTGGTGTAAAACATTAAGACAAGTATGTCGACTGCTACGGTGGGATGGTATACGAAATACCGATTTCTTGTCAAAAAGTGTACGTGGGACAAACCGGGCGATCTGTCAATGACAGATCAGAAAACATGCCCTTGCGTTCAAGTCGTTACCGGCGGTACATCTTGCGATGCATGGAAGGGACTGTCAGTGCACGCCCTTGTTTAAATCACACCATGGCCACTGTAACAGTGACTATGCAAGTCGAGAACTTTTCGAGGTCAGTCATTCTATCCAAACGTGATCGTGACGCTTGCGTCAGCACCTCGTCGGTGACCTTGTCGGAAAAATAATTCCACTATCTCCACGGTTCTTCCTGAAACTATACTAACGTATTGTTATTCTTGGTCAATAACTTCTTTTAGTTATGATTTATTTCTTAGCTTTTGGATTACTTATTATATATATATATATATATATAATTCCTAGTAGCAAGCTCACAAAAAAAAAAAAGAATCATCAGTGTAGCCATACTTTGGTTTTCTGTTTATTCTTCCTCTTCTTAACTCTAATTGGTTCCACATCTTTTTTGTGTGTCCGTGTCTTTCTTAACTACAGTATTGTTAAAAAGGATGTTGTAAATTAGCACATCTCCTGTGTCCCTTCTCTTCTTGTCATCGTCTTCCCTCTATGTCACTACCCATTACTCCAAAGAAGCAACGTAAGTAGGTTATTCGTCACTGGTCTGGAAAGTAACAAGCACGTTACTGCGTTACATAAAAAAGGAACGCGTTACCAGTAACGGCATTAGCGCCGAAATTGATAAAAACCGAGGAATAGGAGAAGATCAGAAAGCACGGGGACGCCAGAGGGCCCAGCGCGAAGCTAGCTGCCTTTGTTTCTATTCGCTGTTCGAACGCCAGACGCCGACGTTTGAACAGTAGGTGGAGACGAAGGCAGCTATAGGAAGTATTCACTGGACGCCATATTTGTGGGTACGGTTTAGAGCGCATGCTCAGAACGAGCTCACATCAATAGGCTGCTAAGACCGACACTCTTGATGGTGCGGATTGCACGTTGCAAAAGAACCGTAGAAGCTCGCCGTCAGCACGTGCTCAGCATTGGCGCACACAGCTATGGCCGCCAGTAAATACTCCCTATAGGGAGTATTCACTGGCGGCCATATCCGTGTGCGCTGCTGCTGAGCGCATGCTGACGGCGAGCTTCCGCAGTCCTTTTGGAGCGTACATTTAGCACCATCAAGGTTGCCGGTCTTAGCAGGCTATTAATGTGAGCTCGTTCTGAGCATGCGCTCTAAACATCACCCTCAAATATGGCGTCCAGTGAATTCCTCCTATAGCTTTGACTCTGTCTGCCCAGTGCCCACTAATCATTCCAACCAGAGCTCGGTGCTATTGGCGACGTGCGCGATCGAGAGCGTCGCTGTGGTCGGCCTTGCACGATTGGCCGAATGCTGCCTATGACGTCAGCAAAGGAATTCTCACAGGCGGAAATAAGAGGAACGTAAGAACTTCCATGTTGACGGTGTTGGCAGTGTTGGTTGCAGAGCGCTAAGATTTCAAGCTTCCACCATGCTCATTTTAAACACAATCGAAGTTGTTGTTCGCGAGGTAATGACGTCACGAAAGGTAACCGTTCGATGGTGCCGCCAAAACATCTCGCCGCTATGGCGCTGGTGTCGGCACGACACATGCGCACACGCTTGACTTCACGCGAATCTGACTTCTGCGCACGCGCAGTGCCCACACCTCGTGTGGGAAAACGCGAACTTATTTGTAAACAGCGTGTTGGTCTATCGACGTTTGCCAGTACGGCCTCTGGGCGCCGCCATCTTGCTTTGCTGCTGGTGTGGGTAGATTCACGGCTCTGGGTAGATGTTTAGAGCCACAAAATGGGCTGCGCTTAAAGTATTGGCACTCTGTTTCCCGATATTCTTGTGGGCGCCGCCATTTTGCTTTGCTGCTGGTGTGGGTAGATCCACGGCTCTGGGTAGATGTTTAGAGCCACAAAATGGACTGCGCTTAGAGTATCGGCACTCTGTTTCCCGATATTCTTGTGGGCGCCGCCATCTTGGTGCTTAGTACAAAGCAGACGCAACTGCCGATCGTCATGGTTCAAAAGTGCGACTTCCGCAGCATTAGATTCGGTGCTAGGAAGCTCGTGTGTTATTGCTTTGCTCGGTGGCGAACTGTTCAAACATTTGTGGAAGACGAAAAAGCGTTTCTTGTGATTTCAAATAAAGCTTCAGATAACTGGCAACCATGATTTTTTGAGCCACAAGACGGGTAAGTGTCGTTACTCTGAAGCGTAACTTATTTAGTGGCATTAAGTAGGTTGTCTTGTAGTCAAGGCTTTGCTGATGGGTCAAACATTGCTGTGGCGTGCTTACGGCCTCAGTAATACTTAACTATTCAACGATATAGCCAGATAGTGGCGCCCAGAAGTTGTACTTCTGAACGTCTATAGAAGCGGCAGTCTAGAACCAGGCGATTTAGAGAGGTCGTCCATCGCTCCAAAAGGGGTATGTCAGTGTTGCCCGCGTGCGCTGGGCCATGGGTTTTCTCGTCAGTGGGCTGTGGGCAGCCTGCGTAGCCGCAATCCCTAACACTGGTGGCGCCTAAATTGATGGTTTTTTGTTGTTTTTGGCGCGTTTTATTGCGAACGGAATTTGACGGTGCCTTTGAGAAAGCATTCTACTATCTCTGGGAACAAAGATAAACGAATTAAAGCTATTTCTAATGATTCTGTACGCCACAAAACGAATGCAACGGGAATGTTTGCTTCATTTTACGTATTCTTTTACGCCACCAAACACCCAGCTTTGCCAATCTACTTAAAGGTGCACTCAAGCGAATTTCAAGATCGTTTATTTATGGGTATAACTCAATACATGGGCTCTAAAGGTATTAGCAAACCGAAATTACACTCATGGGCGGCCGATTTCCCGACCAAAAATCGAATCAAAGATCGTGACCTGCCCCTCTTTCTGCGCTTTGGAGCAGAGACCAAAAAGCGTCGCCGGACGGCGTTTCCAAGAAATAATTGCTGTATTACGTCTCCTACACCCAGATATTTGAAGTTTTCATTAAAATAAATGCACAACGCGCCCAGAAAGACCAGTCATTGTAAGGTTCAGAATCTCCACGCAATTAACTATATTCATTCGGGAAATTTTATTGCTGTGAACGTACTACAACGTCTTGCCATCTACAAGTGGTCTTTTTTTTTTACTAAAGCACAACTTACAGTATTCTATAAAAAAGAAGCTTCTATGAAAAGCAATTCAGTATCTTTGAACTATTTTCACTTTCCACAACAATTTTATGTTGTGAACTCCGCTCACAACATGAAATGCAACCCGTCTCATCAATCGATCAACATATTGGTCGTATCCCATAGTGCCGCGTTTTCCGAACCGGGCCGGGTTTATTTAAAAAAAGATTTCAAATAACACAGCATATCCAATCTTCAGTGTCGATGACAGTCACTTCACGACAATCGGAAGGAATCCGGACTTGTTTTAGGGTACGTTTTGAAGAGAGGTTTCTTATCACGCAGCACCGAAGCAAGCGAACGGACGTGTCTCAACTGTTCCCTGCCTCTTATACGTACCTCATTAGCTCTTTGTTCGCGAAGACCGCGAACGTTTAAGGAGATTAGAATTCTAGTAGGCTGCGGAAAGTGGGGCCAGAGGGCGCGTGCTCAGCCCTTGCTTCAAAGTGATAACAGGAGCTCTAACCTGTACGGTTTACTAAAAGTTCCTACCAGGAAGTTTTAGGGTACTGTTTTTTTTTTTGTTGTTTTTTTCACATCCAATATGGTACGATAAGCCCTAGCTCCGACACGAACTGCGCATGTGCTACCGAAGAAGACTTGCGCATGCGCAGTTCGTACCGGAGAGCTTATCGCACCGTATCGGACATGCAAAAACGGTTCCCCAAAACTCTGTAGCACCTCAGCAATACAAACGTCGAGGAACGTCGAACGGCCCGCGGCGTGGGCCGTTCGACGTTCTTCGGCGCTTGTTTTGCTGAGGTCAACGCGGGCCATGTCGCCTCTAGAGTCTTAAGCGCCGTTCACACTCTTGCGACCGACTAAGACCGAGAGAGACCAGACCGGTTTTTGAGCCTTTTGCGACTGCTTAGCACCAGCTCCGCTGTAGCGCATCCGGTCCTAAGAGGTCGCAAGAGGCTTAAAAACCGGTCTGGTCTCTCTCGGTCGTACTCGGTTGCAAGAGTGTGAACGGGCCTTTAGCCGAGGAAACTTACAACGACGTATTGCTCCTCTTTCGGCATCGCTGCGGTCGTCGACAGCAGAAAAGAGACGGTCAAGCCGGCGATAGGGTGGGCCTTGAGGTTCCCGAATGCGTAAGCTGTTCCTCCGGTCTGGAGGGCCACGTCTTCCAGCTTCTTTTCGGCAAGAGTTCCGAGGGCAAAGGTGCTGACCTTGACTCCACTGGAGACGAGGATCGGCAGTTGTTCGACGATCCACGGTTTGTAATTCTCGTCGCCGTCGGTGACCAGAAAGACCAGCCCTCCCCTTGCCGAAGTGCCGTTGCCTTCGAGCATCTATCCAAGGACCAGGAAGAAAAAAATTACAATTACGGATAAAGCGGGTACTGGAATTGTGAGGTGTGCTTTACCCGTATTCACAAGAACACAAGCTGGGCTAATTTAGTAGTGTCGCGTCACCTCACGGGGTGTCTTGGCGTCGTGTCAGGGCTAAGAGACACCGCTACGTCACATCGCGCTGATGAAGTCCCATGAGCACTGTCCGTTAAATTTAGCAGGAAGGTAGTCTGCTAAATTTGGCGGGCAAAAAGCCTGCACGCCGCTGCGTCCTTCTCGCGCGGAGGAACAGTTAGCTTACACGCGAGGAATTTTCCATCCTTCAGGGTATAAAAGTCCTGCTACAGAGACTTACACACATGGCTACATTTTTCAACATCCTCATTTCGAGTGATACACCCATCGCAAAATGGCTGCTATTGCATAAAACATCATTCGTATTTTAAAGGGTGTGAAAGAGGCGTGGGAAAAGTGTAAAATGACCAGAACACACTTTTTGAAGGGCGTTCGCTCATCATAAAGAGGGCCTTAAAAGGCCCCTATAAAGAAAAGTATGTTTTTTTTTAACAGTCTGGTTGGGACGCGCGTGTCAAAAAATCAATTTTACGCGAAAAAAAGTTACATTAATATTATTATTGACGACGCGATTTAGTCGGTAGTCACCTCCTTTCCACTTGTTTTCTCTCTCTGCATTTAGGGCGCGGGGAGGAGTGGTGGATCGGCTTGGCCATCACGTTGAGGTGGGAGAAGGTATGCCTTCTTGTTGAGGTGGAAATAGTGTATGACCATTCCTGACGCCATGGACATTGCGCGCAGAATTTAAAATAAAGCTCGCCCGTCAATACTGCTCTAAATTTTTTTCGCGTAACATTATTATTATTATTTTTTTTTGACACGAGTGTCCACCAGACATATATATATATAAATGTTCAGGGGCCCTTTAAGTAAGTCAGTTGTTCAAGATCTGTTTTTATTTTAAAGCAAGTTGTTAATTTATAAAATATTTATTCAAGCAAGGGTCTCAAAGGTTCCAAAGAAAACTGTTGAAGGAACCGCTTGGTAATAGAGGGTTAGTTAGCGATCATGCGATATGCCAGCATTTAACATCAAAGAAACATTGTAAATAATCGAGAAACAAAAAGAGTTTACATGCGTGATAAGAAAAGATAAAACCAAATAAAAAGCAGGAAAAGAACAGTATACAATTGTAACGTGGAACCAGAAACCGAAAAAAACCTGCCGGAAAAGATTTCCGGAGTTACAAGAAAGAAGAAAAAAATACAGAAAAGTCACGATAATAATCCTTGGACAAGGAGAACAAAAAGGTTAGAGGACAAACGCAAAGCTCCAAATAGAGTTAGGTGACTCGTGCGGGATCGTAAAGATCTGCCTGGTCTTGGTATCGAACCAGGGACCTCTCCATTTCCAGTAAAGCGCTCTACCAACTGAACTTTTTTTTTTCATTAAAACCTTTTGATTCTGTATACATGTTAAAAGCCCCATTTCACGTGAGCGAAGGCGGAGTGCACTTGACGTTCAAACAGTCCTCAGAGAGTACGGGACCATGATCAGGTTACATCCACATACAGAAGCGACCCCGATGGGCACCCTGAAAGTCTTTAAAGCTCTACCAAGACAAATGCTTTTGGAACGCCTTCCCGTCGTCATATCCTGCACACTATTTTGCATTGAGGACTGAAGAAACATACTGGAAGGCATCAACAAAATGTCACCACGCAGGTTTCCCACTTACTGCCACATGAGGTGATCTGTCCTTGAGCGCCAGATAGCGCGGAGGCCAAGGAGGGCTAGCGTCTCGAGACAGCTTCTGTCCGTGCAGTTGCCAGACTCCAAAAAATTACAAATTTCCCATTCTGGGTAGAGCTGGACTTGAAGCGTTTGTCTTAGCTGGGCCCAGAACAATTTAGCATTAGTGCAATCAACTCAGGTCCTCCCAGTAGAAGCATAGTGCAGAATTCGTTGACCATGGCACAAAGAAGCCCTTCTTGTCCAGCCAGGTTTTGACGGATAAAACATCAGTATTCAACTTAAAAAAAAAAAGTCCCTTGTGCCAGTCTGAACGGGATAGCGTGAAAGCCTTTTTAAAACACTGGATAATGTGTCACGAAGGTACACGCGGAACATGGGCACAGTGGTTAGCAGCTCCAGGGCATCCCAGTACAATCTGCGACGTTTCACCTTTGCCAGGTATTCTTCCGAAAACATCTCGTGAAAGTTTTTCAATGCTCGCTCAATTTATTTGTAGAATCTGAGCGTGCAAACTCTCTCGGACCATTCATTAGGCACCAGCATCCACGGAGCTGTGCATTTTCCTCAATGCTTTTGAATTGCTTTCTGTAAATGCTCGTTTCGTTAACTGCTAAAAAAAAAAAAAAATCTTTGCACTTGGAGTTTTAGTTTAACATTGACTAGACCGAGACCACCCTTCTTCCGTCAGAGGAACAAATTGGTGCGCCGCATGCGCTCAAACTTAGAGCCTCATATGTAAACAGCGCTGAACCGGTTTACTTTCTGTACATCAGTCCTCTTACAAGGCTTCGGTTGTCCCGCGTATCAAACTGTAGGAAAAAGTACTGAATTGGAGACCCTACTGCGGTGAAAGAAAGACAAATATCTTCCATACCAGTCTTGTGCTTTGGTATGCAAACTTTTCAGATGGATACCTGCGGCACCAGCCCTGAGGAACTCGGGGTCCAAGCTTATGCCCAGATTGTTTGTCACTGAGCAGCTACATGGGATATCCAGGAAACTCTCTGGGCGAGCGTCCCATGCTTCCAACCACGCAGCGGTCGATTCCGTTTCGTTCAGTTGAGCACCCAAAACACTGCAGAGATCCGACTTGGCGCCCAGTTGAATCCTCAGATGGCACTGTCATTGATGATGCGCCGGCACCATGGTTCAAGATAGAGTGAGAACAACACTGGCGACATAGGGCAGCCCTGACGAACCGATGAGTCAACAGGGATAGATTTGGGGATGCCTCTGTTGACTTTGATGTTGGTCGATATATTATTGTAGCAGATCCTGACATATCTGCCGAGCGTCTCACCTATGCCACAATCATCCAGCAGCCGGAAGAGGAATTTATGAGAGACACGATCAAAGGCCTTCCTGAGATCCACTTGGAATACGGCCTGGGGGCTGCCCTCTATTAATGCGTCCCCGCACATGACTCTCATCGTGTGCAGGTTGTCCTGGATTCTTCTACCACGAATCCCATACGCTCGATGGTCCCCAACCACGCAGCGAATACCCCGGTCAAGTCTCTTCGCTTAGATCTTCGCTAGCATTTTATAGTCCGTCGTGAGGATGCTAATTGGCCGGAAGTCTTCGACGCCCTGACAACTGTGAGGAAAGCGCTTCTTGGGAATGCGAACAACTATCGTCTGCCGCAACTTTTTGTAGAACGCCGCTCCAAGGCCAATTACGCCGGGAGATTTCCGAGGAGACAGATCCTTTATTTTGCTGGCGATCTCTGCTTCGGTGATGTCCTCATTCATGGCATCCCGAACGTTCGCCGGGATCTGTTCCAAGAAGCTTTGTAAGAATTCACCATCTTGGAAACTGTCTACTCCCAGCAGCTTTTCAAACGCCGTATAGAGCACTTGTTGTATGGCGTCCCCCTCTGTGACTGTCTCTGGGCCTACTTCAAGTTGCGAAATCTGGTTACATTGAGCACGGTGCCGTTGTTTCGTTTTGAAAATCTTTCCATGTATTTCATTTTTCTCAACGGCGAAGACGCTCGACCGAATCATTGCTCCCCTCACAGTACTTTTTCATGATGGCCAGGAGGCGCTCTTTGAAGTTGCAATATCCTCCGTAAAGAGCCGAGGGGACCCGTTTTCTTCTTCAATTAAACGCATAAGTCATTTTGTAAGTGAGCTTCGATCTTCTGTTTCTTCACCCGCCTTTATTTGGCTGTATTGCATAAATCCATTTTTAGGCTTATTTTCATCTGTTCCCAACTAGCAGCGTCAACAGGTTGTAATGCGGATGCTTGCGTAATAACATAATTGATTTTGTTGTTCAGCTCCTCATCCTCAGTCAAGGTGTAGTTCATTTTCCAGTTTTTCTAGTCGGTCTTTGTTTGCCGTGATTTGGTGTATTTTCCCAGACGTATAGTTACTTTCGCGTGAACGGAAAAGGCAACGGTCAGCACTTCGTAACTATCCAATGAAGCTTCCAATTCGCTGGAAAGATAGACCCGGTCGATCCTTGCGTGCGAGCTCGCCTGCCAATGGGTGAAGCCCGGCATGGTTCCGTCGTGGACTCTGTTGCGTCGTGCAAGTCATAATCACGCAGCAGCTTGCGCAGATCCGCTCTGCTGGAGTCCGGCACAAAACCATTTGATGAGTCTTTACCATTCAGAACACACTTAAAGACGCCTGCCAGAATGGTGGGGCTTTGTGTATCTCAATATTGCCTCAGGTTCTTGAAAAAATCCTCGCGGTTTTAATCTTCATTTGGCGCATGCACTGCTACTAGTTTTACAAGCACCTCGTCATGTATCATATCGATGGAGCAGAGATGGTCACATTGGTCGGTCTCTCATTCCGGGGCTACTTTGAAGCCCTTATATTTTTTGAAGAAGCAACGCTGTGCCAGCTCTGTATCCGATGGATTTTGAATAAAAAAAAAGAAGCCGCTCGAAAAAAAGATAGCATATCTTCAATGTGCTTTCTGCCTAATAGTTTAGTCTCTTGTAAGAACACAATGTCCACCCTTTCCTTCAAGAGTATGTTTAGCAGCCTTTGCTTGCGTTTCCGTGATATCAAGCTGTCACAATTGAATTTCGCTACTTTGGGCGGTCCTCGCATTGTAAGCTACGGCGAGGTAAAATAATAAAGGAGAAAGGCTTGCTGTTTCAAGTGACCTCGCCTACGGTCGTCAGCGGGTTTTCAGGGCAAAGCGGTGTCTTTCCACTTCAACTCACAGCGTGATGTTTCGTCGGAGATTAGACTGCTGGCAGACCAGTCGCAGAGCTCTGGTCCGTGGAGGCCGTCCCTTGCGTCTGCTTGGGATGGTTCCTCAGCACTGGCAGGGCAGTCTTTTCGCTCTGAGGTAGCAGTGCTTTCTGGTGCAGTTGTCTCCTCGTTTACCGCCAAATTTCCTGAGCACTGTTTTATGCTTCTAGGGTGCCTTGTATTATCACTCGTGAGACTGGGCACTCGGTAATCGTCCTGTCGTGCTTTTCCTTGTTTGATGCTACTGGTGATTGCTCTGCCGTGCCAGCCGCTGTCAGTGGCAGAGGGTCAGCTGAAGTACCTGAACTGTCGGTGCCATAGGATTCCTCTGCTTCCTCAGCTTCCATGATGCGGTCGCTGACTTCTTCCAGTACCTCCGCATTGGTGACTGACGCATACTTGTGCACACAGTCGCAGGCTTCGTGCCCGTAGCGATTACACTTCAGGCAGCATGGAACTCGGCAGTCCTTACGAATCAGCACAGTCTTTTGGCATCTGAGGCGCAACGGCGCTCGACCAGGTACCAGGACAGGCGCTTTCGCTCCGGATATTTTCAGCTGATGCGGGAGGCTCTCCTTGGTCATGCCGGCGTTCAACGTCTTGCGAAAGAGCCTCGTCTTCGTCTTTATCCCCGCAAAAAACTCCGCGAGTACTTTATCTCGCGCGACTTCTACTACTTTCCCGTACGGCCCGAGAGCCCTGCGGACAAAATCATCAGGCACATGGAACGGCACCCAGTGAAGTTTGAGGCTCCCGTCGCTGGTGTCCGCGTCGATGACGGGGCAGAGTTTACCCTTAATTTGGAGCTGTCTTTCCTTTACGAGCTTCTGTTTTGCAGCTGAAGAGTGAAGCGTAAGCATCCACACAAGGTTTACGTGAAAAGCGCCGAACGCTGCAATGTCCTTGAACACGGCGAGCCGCTCTATCTCGTTACGAAAATCGTCGAGTCGATATGGCCGTTCCGACACATCACAGTAGGAAAACAGAATTTAAAGCAACGGTACCTGAAGTCAGGGGTGGCAGAAGAATCTTGTTGTCTTGGGGAACGTTATAAGCAGAAGAACCGCAACCGAAAACGGCCGTTGACAACGCTCCGACGGAGCTCATGATTCCACCGTCCGCACCGAACCAGCTCCGGAAGAGCGCTCTACCAACTGTGCTAACCAAGAGTTAGACGTCAGTGGAGCAAACCGGTTTTATCAGCTTCCACCGATCTAACACCAACAAGGGTGAACGGCCTGCATTTTAGGGTTATGAAGTAATTGATGCAAATTTGCAGGCGAGCTAGACAAAATAATGGTAATAATCCCTGGAAAAGGTGAACAAAGGAGGCAAAGGACAAACACAAAGCTCCAAACACACCTAGGTGACTGGTGCGCGACCGTAAGAATTCGCCTGGGCCTGGTATCAAACCAAGGACCTTTCCACTTCCAGTGAACCGCTCTACCACCTGAGCTATCCAGAAGTTACACGTCAGTAGAGCAAACGGGTTTTATTAGCTGCCACCAGTCTAACACCAACAAGGGTGAGCGGCCTGCATTTTTAAGGTTACGATGTAATGAATGGAAATGTGGAGGCGAGTTGGACAGTATAACAATAATAATCCCAGGAGAAAGGGAACAAAGAGGACAAATGACAAACACAAAGCTCCAAACACAGCTAGTTGACTGGTCGCGCGCTGAACAAATCCGCCTGGTCCTGTTTTCGAACCAGGGACCTTTCCATTTCCAGTGGAGCGCTCTACCAACTGAGCTAACCAGAAGATAGCTAGGCGTCAGTAGAGCAGTAGGTTTTATCAGCTGCCACCAGTCTAACATCAACAAGGGTAAGCCGCCTGCATTTTTAAGGTTATGATTAATTAATGGAAATGTGCAGGTGAGCTGGACAGAATAACGATTATAATCCCCTGAGAAGGGGACAAAGGACAAACACAAAGCTTCAAACACAGCTAAGTGACTTGTGCGCGCTGAAAAAATGCGCCTGGTCCTGGTATCTAACTAGGGACTTCTCCATTTCCAGTGGAGCGCTTTACCAACTGATCTAACCACGAGTTGAACGTCAGTAGAGCAATAGGGTTTTATCACCTGCCACCAGTCTAACACCAACAGGAGTGAACGGCGTGCATTTTTCACCAGTCACCTAGCTGCGTTTGGAGCTTTGTGTTTGTCCTTTGTCCCTTTTGTTTCCCTTCTCCAGGCATTTGTATCATTATTCCGTCCAGCACGCCTGCACATTTGCATTAAAAAATATCACGTTGCTGTACATGCATGTCTATTGTGTATATGCGTGAAATAGATGATAGTGTGTGTAAACCAGCATGACAGAAAGACAGACACAAAACATGTGAATGAGTCATACAGACTGTATTTGTACACGTATCGCTGCTTTGGACGGATGGAAAGATGACAAGCCTTTGCGGAAGGAAGTTTTATGATTTGGTTGCGAAGTAAGTGAATGTGAAGGCGACATATAGTTAGTTTTTATGCATGGTTGTTTTAACGGAGGTTGCTTTACCGATGATGTGGAATAAGCTTTACTTTTACGAAATATGCTCTTGCTTGGAGAGAGATTCCTTGGAGTTAGATATATATATTATGTTGATAAATTGGTGGGAACCCAGCAGCATAGATTGCGACAACGGTCACCTGCGAAAGGGTGACTTTAAATTGTCAAGTATACAATGGGACACTCAGCAGGGAGGTGATTCCTCTGTCATGTGTTATTTACTGCGTCTGTATTGGCAGTTTTAGTCCGTGCGAGAGCTGTCCGTTTCTTTTCGCTCGTAAAAAAAAAAAAATCGATCCGCAGAGGGCTGCTAAGATTGCCAGCATGCTATATTTTTGGTGTTCACCGTCACTCTAAAAGTGTTCTTGTAGCCCCCCCCCCCCCCCCCCCCCCCTCAGGGTGTTACTAGAACTCCCTTAGACAGCGGGTGAATCAGCTCGTTGTGTCACAGGGCAAGCTGATATACGCCCTTCAGGATGCAAAAAGTTTGTCGCACTTACCTCGGTAGCTTTGGAAAGTCCGCAACCAATCGAGGTGCCCGATCCCACCACTAAACCGTCGATGACTTTGGCGATTCCATCGCGAGCGTCGGTTGTGTTCAGTACCACGAGTGGATGCGCGACTTGGCACCGGCCGCTGAAAGTGACGATCCCGAGAGCCTGGTAGTCGTGCAGCATATGGCGGATCATGTGGTTCATTGCGCACTGGAGGAACGCTAGCCGATCATCTCCAACTCTCTGTAAAATAATAAATTGCCATGTCTTCATTATGTCCAATCACCTGGGCACATGCTGCGTGTGACATCACGTGACTGTGACGCCACGGCGTCACGTGACACCCTAAAGAATGGAACATATGAGCGGTGAAACTGGGCGTCGCGCGCCGTTCGCCGCTAGGCGCACCACAGGCGCACCGCGCGGCGTTATCTGTATCTACCAGATGCAAAGCGACGCGGCGCCTCCCGGAAGTGACGTAGGGACGCCAGCACCGGTTGCTATGCTACTGCCGCGCGGCGCCCGTTTTCATCGCTCCCCGCTGCGGTTGGTGCTGCTGACGGTATGCAACACGTGCGCAGAGCTTACGACTCAGCGATCCTGATTTCTGCGCATGCGCCAGTGGGGGCAAACGCGGACTCGTTTGTAGCGCTATACTGCTTACATGGCCTTGACCCCTGCGTGTCGGCCGTCTGGTTCACACACTAAAGGCCCGTTCACACTCTTGCGACCTCTTAAACCTGGGCTCCTTAAAACTTCTTAAACCAGAGAACACACTGGCGCCATCTATTGGGAAGCAGTGTAAACTCGGCGGTCCGGCATATCTTTTTTTTATTTCTCGCGCATTATCCTTTCTTTCTTGGCTCGAAAAACTTTTGTCAATGTTATAAACGAGTCTTTCTATGGGTATTACGCACATTTGACCTCGGAAATCACGCAAAACCTTCGCTCTTGTGAAATGCAGTTGCAGGGTCACAGCATAGATGGCGCCACAATGCCAGTGTGTTCCCTGATACTAAAAACATTTAAGAAGTTTTAAGAGATCTCGTCTCTCTCAGTCGTACTCGGTCGCAAGAGTGTGAACGGGCCTTTACGCTTACAACCGCGTGCGTCAAAACCCTTTGCGATCTCTTACGACGATATGGCTGCTTTATGGCAGTCGAGGTCGCCGAGATCCGCGCAACCGCGCACAGCCAGTCGGAAGCAGTTTTTAGGCCTCTCCGGTCCTAAGCAGCCGTAATTGTCTGAACCGGACTTTACGTGTTGCATCTCTCACGAAAACCAGTCCTAGAGGACACCAGAGAGCCTAAACGCAGACTAGCACGCTGGTGCCATCTGTGAGTCAACTTTGGAACTGCATTTCACTAGAGCAAAGATTATGCGGCATTGCACGAGATGAAATACTATATGTACGAGAAATTGTCGGGTATAATATTGACAAAATTTTGTAAAGCCGAAGAAAGAAAGAATGATGCGCGGAAAAATATGAAATACGGAAGCTGAACCGATAGATGGCATCAGTATAGCGATACTACAACGAAATTTCGGCGCTTATTTCTTGGTCAATTCCTGTTCAAGGGAGCGGTATCACATCAGGCACAACATCCTCTTGTTAAAAAAGGCACGAAAGGGAATTTTAAAAATAATTAAACGATTAGCAAAGAGCACCTGGTGGATGTCGCGAAAGCCTCGTTTGGAATACCCGTCTAGGAACCTTGACAGGTAGTGACGATGCCTGTCTCGCCTTCGGCCACCACGAGAGAAAAGGGGAAGGAGAAACTCCTTCCCTTTTTTGATGCGTAGACATCGATATTCTCCCTCTACGAAATTACCAGAGGGTTAACCCGTCACTAAAAATTCGCGCAAAAGCAGCATTGGGGTTAGTCGCGGTGGCCCGATCGCTGGCGTGCTTCGGCCGTTTCGCCGGCTGGAACTGTTAGGACATCCTGTTCACGTCAGCCTCGCCAGAGCTTTGCTCGTCCCGAGACAATCTACGTCACGAAGCGCCGGATTTCACGTGCTCTCCGCTAGCTACTCTCCGAGCGCTTGCCAGAGTGGGCCGCTTATAACAAAATATACAGCCACCAGGTTCAAGATACAAACGTGCGACCGTCATTTACGGATTTTGTGGATCATATTCAGCCTATTTATGAACACGACAGGTATATTTTGAATTTCGTTGAAGTATCCCTTTCGGAGGTTTTGGTGCACACGGTCTTACAGGGGCAACTCCGCTGAATTCCGAATATTTCAAGATAATGAGTGATATCACATTAAAAAAACACTAATAAAAGACACTACGTCATTAGCTTCGCGAAAAATGGGATATATATTGATAAATCTCACTTTAAACACGAGCAGAAATCGAAACCGAAACTTCGGCTCCGTCCGGCAACACTGTCCTCGGGCCGCCAACAATATGGCTACCACGTGGTACGAGATGTCACGTGATCCCCGACGGAACGATGGGCGGGATTGTGGCGGACTAGAGCCACTCTATATGGCAGCGTAGCTGCCAGAGTAGCGACACGAAGCAAAATTTTCTAGATGCACGACGTCAGAAACGCCAATAGTGATCTCCATTTTGGGCCTTGGAGGTTGCCATGGTAACCGTGCTGCTAGCGACGCCGGACGGCAATTTTTCGCTAGTTGATATCTCCATTCGTCCATTGAAAAGTGGTAAAAGACGCTTGGCACGGCGGTACGGCAAGGGCCTCTGAAGGAACGGTTTCTGTTTCTTTTGTTTAGTGAGACGATTTGCAGCCCGGGGTCTGTCGGGCGACGAGAGCTGCTAGGTATCGTAGGTGCACGGAAAACTCCAGTGGTTTTTCGCGCCCCCGGGATGGCAGCCGCTTGCTGGGACGTACGTACCGTCCTTGTACTTTTGGACTTCGCTCCTGTGAAACAAAATCCGAAAACGCCGGCCACGACAGGACGATTGCCTCGGGACATGACTGTTGCTCGACCGCCCCATAGTAAGCAAATGTATGCTTAGCATCATATTTCTTCAAGACCCAATCATTCATTCAAGATGAGATCATCTCACCGACTGGCGAGGAGCGACGTTGACGACGGTCTCACCCTCGTTTGGGCGATGAACAGTCGACAAGGTTAAACTAAGAAGGACAGCACGGTGGTCTCCAGAGGATTGTTAACGCCATCAAAAGAAACGGACGCCGGATATGAGGTGTTCTTGCCGACAGGTCAAGTGGTCGTCCGGAAGTTTACTGGCATTCAAAATGTCAATATTTTTATATGGCGTAGCACACATATCCGTGTTAATGGAACCATGAAATGATTTTTTAACTTATTCTTTCTTAGCTGTAATCCTCAACTCAAAAGCGAACTGTGAAATCATGCGGCCATGACATGCTAGGCAGGGCCGGCCTTTGGGGTGAGCTAGAGTTGCTGTATAGGCTCCCTACGGGAGCCAGAGTTGCGCATTTGTTTTCCCCGCGCCGCCACGCCGCTATTCGCCGAGATCCATCACGTGAGGAGCAAAGCATCCGGTGGCGTGCAAGAAAGCCACCTTTACGGTCGCTCCGCCGACGTTTCTCTTGCCCGGCGTATGTTTCCCTGCTTTCCGCCTCCTTTTCCTCCTCTCCTTTTTTCCATGCGCGGCGGCGCGCGCGGCGCCGCTATTCGCCAAATTTAGTCACGTGAGGAGCAAAGCATCCATCTCGTGCGGGAAAGCCGGCTTTACGGCCACGCGCTGAGGCTGAATGCGCAACTCTGCTACCGTAGGTAGCATATACAGGAGCTCTAGGGTGGGCTAGAGTTGCTGTATAGGCTACCGTAGGTAGCATATACAGGAACTCTAGGGTGGGCGACCTGCGCAGCCGCACAGGGCGCATTCATAGGGGGGCGCCGGAAGTGCCGCCAGGTCATGCAGGACTCAAACCTCAAGGTGATAAAAACAATTGCGACCTGATATTGCGCCGGCAATATCAGGTCGCAATTCACGAGGGTTCTGTTTGGATGATGCTAGGCGAAGCTTGAGGACCGCAATCAATGCGTCGGTGGCGGTGGGTTGGCAGAAAGGACCTTCACAACAGGGATGGTGCTATATCGTTTTTTCAACCATAGCAGAAGATAAGACATGTGTTCCAGGATGCTTCAGGTGGTCTACTATTCTTGAAAGTTCTAAATGACACTGCGTGCACGATTTCAACGAGCTAACCTACAACGAAAGTACCCATTGTCCTTTCATACAGAAGCTTGGTAAAGTTTCATGTTCAAGGCCACAGATATACCAGTTCATTCCACCCTGACGTCATATGATCTATGCTGACATGGGCGTCCTTATTGGACAAGGGCGTGGTGATATTTTGATGGGATTCAGGGTGACATAAAATTTATATAGAGGTAGAAGTATTTTCGCATCTTTCGTTAGACAGATGGGGTGTCAGGGAATGAACCGTGGTCAGTCCTTGATGGAACATTTTTTGAGCCCATTGAAAACTCCTTGTCGTCCGCAACCACTACCTTCAACGCAAAGTGAAACGACTACAGGAAAGTAAATTCGGGATCAAAAACTTCTACTTTAAGCTTTTTCGTAGATGGCGTCTCAAACAAATTTGAAAAGTGTATTGAAGTATCACTATTTCTTTATTTGTATTTCTGCCCTCCCGAAAATGTATTTCTGTATTTGTACTTCCAAAGACATTTTGCCTCTATTTAAATTGTATATCCGACACGTATCGTGATACATTTTACAGATATATTTCAGTATCAGTATTTAGCTACTATTTTATTGTATCCCAGTATTTGTATTTCCAAGTACATTTTTGGGTATTTCTGCCGAACCCTGACTTGTGCTTTCGTTTTCTCTGTCCATCAGACGTTAGCTTGCAATGGGAGACCCACTGCTGAAATTCGGTTAATCTGAGAAATAAATGTATTTTGGACAATTAGATCACGGTGCCTACAAAACGCTCAAATGCTCGGGAACGTCGTTCATTTTTAGGATGTGCTTCTCGACTGACAACGACAAAATCGCGACCATTCGCGCTGGGTCACTCTGGCATGTTTACTAACAACGTGATGTTGGGTGCGAAAATAGGCGGGGGGGGGGGGGGGGGGGGGGGGCGCCACGGCCGCAGTTTGTCCAGGGCGCTTGCTGCTCTAAGGCCGGCCCTGATACTAGGGCACCGGTGCGATGACCCCAAGCTTCCACCGTGTTTTTTAAGCACACCGTAGAACTTGGCATTTGCCAGTGATGATAAGTTCCGTAAGTGCACTCATTGGCCACGAACGCGAATTCGAATATTCGTCGACGAATTGATCGTTGACGAGCGCATACGTCCGAGTGACGCAGTTTTCCTGTCCAATGCGTGAGCGGGGGTCGGCTGACGTCATTTTTGCCTTTGCAGGCATTGCAAAGAGGACATTTAGAACCATACACACATGATGATAACATCAGAACACACTGACATTAATGAGCACAAAACGAGCCCAGCTACAGAAAATAAACATTACACGTAAAAAAAATTGTCTGTAACTCGTTAATTACAAAGACGAACACATCTCTGAGCATCTAAGTTTAATAGTATGTGTTGATGCATTGTTATATAACAGTTAATTTCATATACGTCGTTTGAGCAAACGCCAGCTTGTCACTTGAAAAAAATAAACCAAACAACACTGGGATCAAATGCAATCCATTGCAACGAAACCACGTTATATCAAAATCTTCAGAACTGACAATTGGTAAAATCGTCGATTACAACAAAAGGGTAAAGATCGCAGGCGCTTCCTCGCTAAACGTTGCTGTGGTTATTCGGTGACCCAGGGCTGAAACAATCTCACCTAAGCCCTACACGCGAGGTATACCGTTCGTTTCGATTTTCAGAAATTCAAACTTTCAAAGGAAGCTATAAAAATGCGAATCTTCTATCCTAAAAGCTATATTGTACAATCGTTGATTAGTACAAAACGTAAAGATCGCAGGAGCTTCCACGATAAACGTTTCTGTGATTATGCGGTTACCTGGGGCTGAAACAACTTCCCCAAGGCCCAACTTGCGACTCATACATTTCGCATCGGTTCTCAGACACTCTAACGTTAGAACAAAGCCAAGAGTATGCGAAAATTGCATGCTAAAAGCCTTATCGATCCTCGAACATATCGGGAATCCTAGCACCACTACGGCGATATGACTGATTCTGTCACACAGGTGGTAATATCCAGAGCGATCTTGCACAGAAAATGTGTAGAGTCGCATTCTTTCAGATCTTCACGTTATATCTGCATCAGAGAGCACAAAGAAGTTCGAAATCGTCGGCGAGCAGCTGCACATCGCGACTCCGCACACAGAACAAACTCGCATCTACCAGCTCTGGGCGCTGCCATCTTACCAGTGACATCACGGCTCTTGCGAGGTCACGTGACGAGTAGTCACTCGGTTGCTATGGGCACGGTGCCAGCTCGGCTCGTTGTTATGGTACCGCGTGTGACGAATCGCAGCGAGAGGCAGCACAGGGAAAAGCGTGGCGCTACTCTGGCAGCTACGCTGCCACATAGAGTGGCTCTAGGGCGGACGTGTGCCAGGCGCCTTCACCGCACTCTTCCCATGTTTTGGTGTCTACGACATGCGACGTCTGCACAACTGCGGCATAAGTCTGCGCACGTGGCGTCCGTAGTGCGAACAAAACTCCGAGAGACAATAAGCACGAACTGTGAGACGACGACGGCGGTTGTGACGCGGCAGACAACGGTACCGGCGGGACGGCTGCCAAGAAGCGCGCTGTGAGAGGAAACAAGTACCCCGCACTTGTACCTTATAAAACCACGATATTCCGTCCAATAAAATTTCAGCTGTGTTTGAGACTCTCTGTTGTGTTGTCCTTCTTTTCCCCCCAGTCTCGGGGTTTTGTCTAAAATGTTAAACCTCTACTTTTTTTTTCTTTTCAAGGTCCAACGGCGCGGGGAGACTCACCGGTCTCATGCTGTGCGACACGTCGAGAACCAGGACCACGCGCTGACTTTTCTCGTCCGAGCGCTGAAACAACCTGAAGGTCGTGAACACGGTCCTGTTGGTCGGGAACGTGACAGTTCTGCAGAGGCAGGGGACAGGGTACGTGGTCAGCGTTAGGCCAGACAGGTGCAGACAGCTTACTACAAGGAAGATACTGTTGCTCGCTATACTCCCTCGACAGTATACAAATCCCGGCACAGTCGTTATTGTACATATTTTTACAATTCAAGCGTGTTTCAAGCATCGGTGCACACGTGTGCCAGTGTGCACCGATGCGAGCACTTAATGTCATGTTCCACACCAAGGCTAACTGGCGATCGCTTACTGCCCGTACAGGCAGCGTCACAAAGCAGCGGCCGCGGCGGGTCTCTGGCCCTGCTGTGCACCTCGTCGCGCACAAAGCGCCGCCGTTGCCACCACTCAAGAACACCACCAGCAGGGAGCGGATCACTACTATGTGCCCACCCCAGCATAGCATCAATTGCATTCAAAATACGTTCACAGAAATGGTACATACAGCGAAGCCGTTATGTGCTAGAATCTGAAAAGAAAAAAAAAAAGAAAAAAAGAAAAGCGTTCATGGATGTTAACAAAAAAACTTCCGTTTAAACGGCGCTCCTTCGCTCTGATTGGTCGTGGCAAGTATAAATAAAACGAGGGGGCAACCCGCGTGAGTCAGCCTTCCTTGGCATTTTTAGATAGTGAGGTCCTGATCCCTTGTTATCTACGGTCACCAACTTATCGGAACTAAGACTGCGCTGTGACAAAACGCGCCGATCTAACCTTCTTTTCTTTCGCTTCCGCGATGCTGATAGACTTGGGCTCAATCGAAAAAAAAAATCTGTCCTCGAGGTGTGCCTCGAAAAATTGGGTTTAGAACTTGTCCGCATGTGACCATAAGGCAATGATCACTTTAGTCACAGTAATGATTCTAGTCGATCGGGGAGTGCTGCGCTGGCTGGAGGGTGGCTCGTTCCCGGTGCTCACAGGGATGCTCAGGACTCGTTGATGAGTAAATAAATATATATTTACAAACGAAGAACAACTTTTTACAGGACAAACAGGAAAACGTCACGCTTGGCGTACTGTCGCTCGCGACAGTCCAACGCCAACAATGGCGCCTCAGCGCCAAATCCGTTGCCGCGCACGGCAAGTTCTTTGCCCCGCAGGACAAAGTACGCGGAGCCCTCGGGACCGCGGGAGAATAACGTCTTGCTCCGCGCACGGGCTCGTTCAGACTCAACTTTTTCCAAAAAGAGACACGCCGACATTCCGAAGACAGGCCGGATCTCCCTCTCTCCGCGGAATCGCCGACATGGCCCTGACAAGGTCGCTTCCCCAATTACCACGGCGGCAAGGGCGACCACCCACTCCTGCCTGGAAGGTTTCGTTTACTTCCCACGCGGGGAAATCTGCTTCCACTTTCGGGAGCTGGCCGCCGCTTGCCGCCAAGGGGAAAACGTGAGACATCGGGCGCCTCCGAAGGACGCTTCGGGTGACCGCGCCGCCAATTCACCGAGCTCTTTCGGCAAAGCCCCTTCGGCCATCCCTACAGTCACTAAGAATTAAATAACGAGAAACACCGTAGTCGTGTACGTGTCTTCATTGCAATCATATGCAAGTCACATAGATGTCGTATACTTGTCGTAAAGATCACCTCTTCACCGATCCTCCATCTTGACGTGAAGTGGATGGAGCTGTACGGTTTTTTGAAAATGGTCAAAACGAGATAGTATGTTTCGAGAATGTTTGAAAGGAGAAAGGTTAAAACGAGAAATGTCGCTTTGAGAGGGGTCTAAACCCGAAAGTTTGTTTTGAGAACGGTTTAAATGAGAAAGGGAGAAAGGGAAAAAGTTGCTTTGTGCTGGGTTGAAATGAGAAGGTGAAAACGAGAAGGTAAATGTGCGAACGGGCTCAAATGAGAACCACCCATTTCGTGATTCACTTATAATCAAACAGGTTCCGTGAGATCAAAGTACGAACGGCATTAAGAAATGTTTTTTTTTTTCTCGCAAAGGTGTATTTATTTGGAGCGTTCATATCTCAATGAAGCTTATGCCTTTTTACTTTATCATGTGCCATTTGTAAGTAGCAGTTTCCACCAGAAGGTTTTTAGTCTTCCCTTTTGTGAATGAAAGAGAAGTTTTAGAGTGCAGCAACTTAGGCGCCCTTTTCCGTGTTTCGCGGCGTCGGCGTAGCCGCGCTAAATTTAGCGGGAAAATTGACGTCACTTGGCCTCAAAACCAATGTAATTCCCCACTACGTGACCTCTACACAAATCCAATTACCCGCTTACTTTAGCGGAGAATTTAGTTGCTGTTGAGGTCACGTGACGTCGATTTTCCCGCCAAATCTAGCGGAGAAATTGAATTTGTTCATGGGTGACGTGACACCAAGTCATGTGACGTCATTTTCCCCGCTAAATTTAGCGAGGAAACTGAAATCGAGGAGGAGGAGAGGGTACGGAAAAGGAGGGAAATACCCTCCTCTCCTTTTGCTCAAGTGCTGCGCTCTAATTTCGCAAAACAGAAATTTGTATACGACTTTCATTTTTTTTTTTGCTTAACTATTGTACTAAAACCCGCACTCATAAAATTTGAATATGATGAATGCACAACCTAAGTATATATCTCGATGAAAAGTTTAACTGCACTCAATTCATTAGTTTATTTTTTTTTTTTAAAGTCTCGAAGAGCGCCTGCTGAGATACACTAGTATTTGCAGAAAACAGAAACAATCACTTGCTTCTTGGAGTCCTCGTGTTGCAAAATGACATCCCAGGTCGAGATCTGTTTGTGTGTATTATGGAGACTGGTGGCCTCGTAGTTGTGGGTGTCTTGTTCGCAAAATTCGAACACCTGCCGAACAGAGCGGAAAAGCGCGGGAGTTAATTCCCTGCTGGTTATTTAGGATTAGGAGATGCCGCGAAGCTAACGAGGGGGATACGAAATAAATCCAATGCCATTTTTTTTTTCAAATTTTTAGCGCTAAGTTTGACGAAAGTTCGGCTTTTACGCGTGCGCGTGATTGGATACCCAATTCGTTTCGCTGCATTCATAAGACAGATATAGGAAACGCCAAAAGACAATACGGTGTTGTGCAATGAGAACGATGTAATAGATATTTTTTTAATACTAGAATGCTATTTTTGTGCTATTAAAAAAAAAAAAGAAAAACTTCCCTTGATCGTTTTGATAAACCCGAGAATCACAAAATGTGTTGTGTGTACGTGTATTATGCGTGCGTTATGATTTGCACTGCTTGGTTGCAGAGGGCTTTAGGTGGTTTCGGATGCACTGCACAGACGACACTGTTGTGATCTTCAGGTTCATCAGAATTGTTAAGATAATCGTAATTTTCTTCGGAAGTAGTGCGTGTCACAAGCATGTTTTAAAAACTAAGTTTTTTATGGCTTTTTTAGTGCTTTGCTTAGCGCTCTTGGATCGCAAGGCGCTCCTTATTGTAACTGAAGTAGTCGTGAAGTGAGAAGGTTAATCACGTACATTACTCTAGCAATTGTCTTTTGACTGAAGTACTGACGTCAAACGCCCGCTGCGCATCTCGATGGATCACCCCGTGACGTCGTAAGTCCACTAAAAGGGTCACTCCCTATTGAAAATAAAATGTCTGTGAGGCCCACTAGGATTTCCTGTTAGGGCCTGAGGGGCCTTTTAGGATATCCTGAAGTGTCTGATGGGCCCACCAGGCTCCTCTAGTAGGTCTGTGGGGCCCACTAAGACATTTTTCTGAGGTGTGCGTTCCTTCAGGATCGTTCTAAAAGGCATGTGTGGCCTCTGAGGGACGATATAAAGGGTCTGTGTGGCCTTTCAGGGCCGTTCTAAAGGGTTTGTGAAACCCACCAGACATATCGGGAGGACCTCGCAGAATTTATCCGAAGACGGTATAGTGCGTAAACGTGCTGTGTTCATCGGCAACTCGCATCGATGACGCGAGTCCGCAAACCTGTTATGTCGCTGTATATATTAGTTCATTATGTAGGCGTAGTTGGAAGCGAATATTGCTTTGGTTGAGACTGTATCTGCGTACATACCTTTCGTCACGATGACCACCGATCGAGACAATAAATGTGTTCGTACCTTTGTTCGAAATTCTGTGTCACGTCTGTGTCGTGTGCTGAACAGCTTCGCTGGTCATCCACCTTCAGAGAGTGGAGGGGGATGACGTCCTACCACCGTGTCTAAAGCTGAGGAAGTCGCATTTTGATCTGTGACGATCGTCAGCTGCGTCTGCTCCGCTCTAAGCACCAAGATGGCGCCGCACACTAGCAGATCGGGGAACTGAGTGCCGATACTCCAGTCTAGGCGTAGCTCATTAAGTGGCTCTAGGTCAACGTATGGTCATTGACACCTTAAGAAACAGGGATCTGCCAAGCATAAACCGGGGGGTCACGTGACTCTTCAGTGACACCTCCTCTCTACGTCACACGTCTCTGTCGGCGAGATGGCCACGCGAGACCTTCCCTTTCTTCGTGTTTTGTCGGTTGGCGTTATTTGGGTTCGTCGATCGTGAAGCTGATCATTCCGCGAGCGGGTATAAGCTAGACCGCCGCGAAGCGGCGTTTACGGTTGGGCCAAGTGGGTCAACAGTTTTGTAATGAGCCGCCGCAGACTGCTACCGCGAAGCGGCGGGAACGCAGGGGGGTGGGTCGGTTAACACGCGCCCCCGTTCGTTATAACCAACAGAAATGCGTGACGCAGTAAAATGACGTCACCGGAGCATCACGTGGCCCCCCGGTTGATGCTGTGCAAATAGGAACACTCTGAGAAACGCAAGGCGGAGCTAATTGATCTCATTGGCTGCATTGCGGTAATCGGGACTGGCCACGTGGCTGTCTAAAAAAGTCAGTGGTGATGTTGCGAACTTTGATGTGTCATCGTCGTAGCGTCAAATGGCTCACCCCTTCGACGTAAGGTAGGAACATGATAGAGCCCCTGGCCCAGTTCATCTGATTCTGTGGTTGCTTGAACGTAACGTCGCAGGTCGTCGAGGTGACGTTGGTGCATGGTTGGACGTCCGGACACTTTCCGCCGGCCTTTGGCGTTAATTCGAACTTAATGAGGTCGCTGCACCTTGTTGGAG